TCTCCCTTCTAACTATTAAAGTTCATACAATCAGGAGTGCCAAATTTACATATCTGGAACTGTCAAAAAGTCAAGAGAAAAAATACAATTATATTCAATAACATTACAATAAAATACAATAAACTTCAGACTTCTTGGGAACCTCATACATCCTCTGTGGTTTTTGTACATTACTGCCTTCCCTAGTTCTCCCAGAAGGAGATTGGTATCATTATGAGAAATTTTCTGTACAGGATGAAATAGTAGCTAAGAAAGTACTGAGTTCCATATCCCACAGTACATATCCCACAGTCCATATCCCACAATGTTTTAAGTTCCAAGGAGCTTGGAGCCTGAAGGTTGTCACAAACCAGACAGATTATACAGATTCATCACTTAGAAATGCATTTTCAAAACAGATGTTTTACTAGACAACTCCTGAGTCTTATATTAAAAAGTATCCATCCATTCAAAGAATACTAGATCAGATCCCCTTGGGTCTCCCTCAGGTGATTCAGAAATATGATTAGACAAATGGGGACATAATAGAACCCCATCAGAACACAACATAACATAACCATGTAAGGTTGTTTCTGTTTTGAACGAATCAGGCTGTTATTTGCCTGATCAGCAAGTCTGAATCCAAAAGTCAGCTTTACTAGAGGGTTCATACTTACAGCCAGACTTTGAAGTTAATCCAAAAAAAGTATGTGATTCTTCTTGGCCTTTGCACAATGTCTGTCTCTATCTTTGTTGGCTGGTTGGGAAATTTGGGCTGCTTTATTTATTCAAACGTGTCAAATTACTGCACGTCATTTAACTGTTATTTGTTATGGGAGTTTGGGTTTTAAGGTGACAGGTTACAACTGTCAAGAGACAAAAGGGTCAGCTGTTGTCAGTTAAACAAAGTGGAAGAGGAAGGAGTCACTCAATACATGACAGGTCTTTTGTGGCAACAAAATACACATGTTGGCCCATATAACTTAGATGAAAAACATTCATTATTTCATCCTTGCATAAATCAATCACTTCCAATAAAACCTTTCTCAGGTTTGCATTAGCGTATCTATAAGAAGAAAATACATCATGACACTGTGTTCTCGGCTTTAATGAGCACAAAAAATTTCTTCTGCAAATCATCATGTCATCATTTAGATTATAACACAGTTGAGGAATGTTGTATGTCACCATTATTCTGATTTCTTTGGCATATGAAAACTTTTATATTGACTGAATGTGCAAAAGAGGTTGCAATGCTTCTCTAGAGACTTTTACCCTTAGTTTCTTTACAAAAGCATGACAGTGGGGTTCAGTCTGGCCTTTGAACAGTCCTTCCTGGTTCACAATCATGTCATCCTGATTATTTTGACTGCATTTTAATCCTCAGTTTGAATCTGCAGATTTCAGCCTAGTTAACAACAGTTGCAGACTTACTAGAGCAGATTATGCCCTTTTTAGGAAACTATGTTCTACACTCTTTTATGGGATGGCTGTATAACTGTTAATTTTAAAAGGGGCTGTAAAAAAGGGAACTGTTTTGAGATGAGTGGAAGGATGACAACCAGACCCTAGGACACTATTTACTGTCTCCAAGTTTGTATGTGAAATAGGGATCGTATTATTCTGGCAGCTAATTAGACATAAATGGGGGGATGCAACAGCTCTCTGGAAGCTACCTTTTTCTACTTAGGAAAAAATTCTGTTGCTTTGAGTGGAGTTTTTCTGATTCTTAACAAGGCTTGCAAGTTACTATTCAAAGGACACAGAAATGTTTACAGGAAAAAGGTGAAATCACAGCCCATAAAAAGTCCTGTTTGGTAGCAAGGGTATGTAAAGCCAGTGGAGTATACAGAAGATGTTCTGGTAGGAGTGTTTCCCATGAGGTCTTCCCACCCAGTGAATCCACAGGACAGCTCATCCACGTCCCTGCCCACAAGCAGGAGCTAAAGGGACTGCAGCACTGGCATTGCCCAGTGTGTTCACACACACCCATGTCTCAAGGCCCAGCTCTGACCCTTCTCCCCATCCAGATCAGACAGAGAGATGTTTCAAATCGGCTGGATAATGCATCCTCTGAAGATACCTTTCTGTCTTGTCACTGTCTACAGAGCTAGCAACCAGCTTTGGCATCTAACTTTCAGATGACTAATATAACATAAAATGAGTTCCACTCTTCTTGCATTAAATATGCCACTGAATTTCATGTAGTTATACTTGTTCTGAACCTAAGTCAGACTAACTAAGGTTACACTCCAGAAAAAGATTCTGTTTTTACTAAGTCACCCAAAAAAGGAGATTTTGTGTCTTCTGTAGCTAGTTTATTTCAATTGTTACACATCTTCTGTCACAGCCAAAAACTCAGGGAAACTGTTTCTCATTAATTTTGTTTAACTTGAATCTCTTACAGATATTTCTTTATATATACTAATCTAGACTTAGGAAAATCCTAATGAGGCTAATTTCCACTGAAATAACTGTAAATAGCCTAGAAACTTAATCTAGAGGTCTGTGCACAGGATTTTTTCACAAGACTTTCTTTTTGCCCCTTACAGAGTTAATTATATTTCACTAGCAGAATTATGAGGAGGAAGACTTGACTGGATCTGGAATACATCAGGCTCAGTTCCCAGTAAGGAAGGTAGCTAAAGGAGCTTTATCTTTTGCTTGGTGAAGAAAATGATGACGATCCTCTGTGTTATTGCTTGCCCACTGCAGTGTTCAAAATTGTCACACATTGTTCCAGTCAAGGATAATATTTCTGCCTCTATGCCCGTCTCTGTGTGTTATGAACAGAGAACCAGCTTGTCCAGCAGTCTCTTAATGAAACTGGAAAAAACTGGAATCAAATTCCCATTCTATTTCCCAACAGGTATGTTTTTTCTTTAGCTGTAGAGATGTTTACATACTGGTATTTTCTGTCCTTTGCAAAAGCTTGCACCAGATGATGTCCATCCTAATCCCCAGATTTGAAAGGACAAAGAGACATCCAAGCTGTCATGCTTTTGGGCTTAAATTTGAACCAGACCTTGCCTTTTTTTTTGCACTAGCAGATGACTCACTCAGCAAACCTAAATGAGGTACATACAGTCTAGAGTATCTAGACATATGTAAGATTTATTAAATACACTTCCTCTTTAAAGCATGTTATTTGTGTTAATGGAACTGAAGGACATTAAAGTTTCCTGGGGTTGATTGTTCATAGAAAGAAAATGCACTGACAAATCAGGAATTAGTACACTTAGTATCTGAAAGGATGTCCTTTGTTACATCGTCTCTCTGTCTCTCTGTCTCTCCGAGCGAAACAGAAATCTCTTTTCTTCATGCAAGGCCAGATAGTGAGGACAGAACTTAAGTGCTCTTCAGTCATAGTGGTCCTATAACAGCTCTTGAAGAAGAAACACAATGTGACCTGATGTCCTAACAGATAGGTAGAAAACCCTTTAAGTAATTCTTTTGAGCAACCACTGACCTAGTCCTGTATGTCAAGGGAGACCAACGATGTCCCAGAAGTTTGCACCCATTATAGATTTGGAGCAAAGGTGGTTAGCCACTGAGCTGGAATTTAAATTTCTGGAAGTATGATCCTATCTGCTCTCATTTCTCCAGGAAAGCAAGTGAGGATGAATTTCTTTTGTCTGCTTTCATGTTTGAGTGAAGGGAGAAATTAACTTAAAAGGTGTGAGGAGCTTAATTTAAAGCTGTAATTCTCAATTCTTCTCTTGCTAGGGTAAGAGGTACCCTGCATATAAAGAATTCTTCTCCCACATCTACAGGAAGGTTCTTGAATTCCAGATAGGAAGACTGGGAAATTCTAAATTCCTTGAGGAAGAAACTGATAATAAATCAGCTTGATCAAGATAGGAGATGCAGGCATTTCTTAATAACAGCAAAATGAATTATAAATTTCGCAGTGTAATTTCCAGTATTATGGGTATGACGACTACACAGTAAATACAGACACACGGCCAGCTGTGAGGTAACAGCTCACAGTAAAATCCCTCTGCCTTATAAAATCATATAATAATTTGGGTTGGAAGGGAACTTTAAAAGTCATCTGCCGTAAGCCTGGTCATCTTCAATTAGTCCAGGCTGCTCAGAGCCCTGTCCAATCTGACCTTGAATGTTTCCAGGGATGGGGCATCTGCAACCTCTCTGGGCAACCTGTTCCAACATTTCATCACCCTCATTGTGAAAAACTTCTTTCTTGCATCTAATCTAAATAGATCTTCTTTTAGCTGAAAACCATTACCCCTTGTCCTATCACAACATGCTAAAAGATTGGTTCCCATCTTTCTCAGAAGACCCCTTTAGGTACTGGAAGGTGCTATAAGCTCTTCCTGTAGCCTTCTCTTCTTCAAGCAACTCCAGCTCTCTCAGCCTTTCCTCACAGGAGAAGTGTTTGATTCTTCCAGTCATCTTCGTGGCTCTCCTCTGTGCTTACTACAACAGGTCACTTTATGCAGTGTGAATATAATTCTGAGAGCAGAATTTGGAAATGCAAGAATTTACAAAGAGAATTTTTATTTTTTTATCCCATTGTCTACACTGTCCCTTCTTTTAGTAGTAAGACAGATTGTCACTACTGTCATGTATCATATGAGCTTGATGCATACTACTCTTCCCTAGATTAACAGAGAATGAATTTTTAAGCAGGACATAGTGTGTACATGATACACTGTTTAGCTACAAGAAAAGCCTTCCATTGGGAAAAAGGTTATTAATGCAGAACATTTGGGCCAGTCCAGAAAAGCAGAAACAAAGCCAGGAAAGGTACTTAAAAATAATCTTGTAACCTTCAAGTAGGATTCAGGACATAAATTTGGGAAGAAGTGAGCAAAAAAAAAAGAAAAGTAAGCAGCATCCAAATACCTGGACAGGAACCAGTGTGATGTTATCTTCAAAAAAAGTGTTAGCAGAAAGCATTTATGTTTGCCCCATTTAATTAAATAATTTTTATTTTAAAATATCTGGTCAAATAAAATTTATTTTCATATGGGTATAGAAAGAGATGTTTGCATTACCTCCAGGAATGTTTGTGCCCAGAGCCGGGACCTGATTTTTAGTGCAGCACTCTTTCCTCTTTCCAACTGTCCCACAGCACATGAAATTAGGACACACTTCACATTTGTACAGTTCTGAGTAAAAAGTAAAGGCAAATCATACTTATGCTTTGCAAACAAAATAATTTTCAAATGCTATATATAAGCAAAAACAAATCAAGTTTTCATTAAAGAGCTAAGTACTTTTTTCCCGTTCTCTATGCATTGTTTATTTACATCCCTAAATTGTTCCCCTTTTCTAACTCTCCTGGTTTTCCCACTGATATTTACATCATAGCAGCCAGAACATTTGCTGAGATTCATTAGTTGCTTTACTTGAAACTTACTGTCCATGAAACATTTCTGATGAGCAGTGATTTTGGCTCATACACAAGGCTGAAGGCAAAAGCCAAGCACTGCAACTCAAAACTATATACTCCTAAATTTGCCAGAAGAATGTCACACTAAAGGTTAAAAGCTGACTGGGAGCCACTGAAGGGAATGGGCAGAGTCTCATGGTGTAACCACAGAAATGATGTGGTTGTTTAGGGAAGAAAAAGGAAAAAAGATCTCATAAAATTGATGAAATGTTTATGGAAAAAAATAAAAAATTCTCTATATACAAATAGGTTTTATCTGAAGAGTTTTGTTTTACTCAGGGGAAGGTTGAGGTTTTAATTGTTTCCTATTTTTATAACAAGGCAGAGAATCCCTCCCATGACAGAAGGCCTGGTGACCTCAGAAGAAAAGCTAAGTTTTCACAAGTAAGTATATTCCCTAGTGAGAGTGAGAATGCACTACCAATACCCAATCTTCAGGAAATGAGATGATGATGCATGTAACAGATCTGAAAACACCCTTAAGGAATCCTGTATCTTCATAGACAGCTTTCCCCACAAATCTCTGTCTTATTGGAGGATAAGCAGCTGTATGCTTAATTGCTGCTTTCTATATCTGCCTGTAAATGAAATTGTAAACCCTGGAACTTGCAACTGTAAACTTTTTATTTAAAATGAATATTTTAAAGTATCTGTTTATTTGGCTTTAAACATCCTCCAAACAGATTTATTAATCTGCAGGAAGAAGAAGACTTGTTTTCATTAATCATAGCGGCCAAAACACACATTAGCAAAATAAATCATTAGTATGCAAAAAAGTCTATTTTTGGCTGACATTTTAGGACCTGAGCACATACTTCTGTTTTTCTTAGTAATGCATTTAGCCTGTAGTGATTTTCAGAACAATGTAACATTGGAACTAATGGAAAAGAAACCAAATGTTTAATCAGCAGTATAAATAGAATAAGAGGTTCTCAGAACATTTTGTCTCTCTGTGAAAATGCTTTGATGAAAATGAAAATAACTTAAAATTTCCACAAAATATTTCACTTTTTAACAAAAAATGATCTTTGTCCAATCAGTCTTTTCCAGCACAATATTTATTTTCCGTATATACTTCGAATGTGTAAAATAAATTTTAAAAAAATATGCATCAGCAGTAACTAATGCTGAAGGCACCCAGAATTGGGAGACCTTCTAACTGAACTAATGACAGTGCTTTTTCATGCTCACCCTGGAAAAGCCTTGCTACATAACCAGTGCTAAGCTCTGCATCCAATCCTATCCTAATTTGTACTAATCAAAAGCATATTTTGCTAGAAGATTGCTCATCAAAGTGCCAATTTCATATTACTGAGTACCCCACTAAATATGTTTGATCCACCTACATCAATCTGCTGAAAATTCTCTGCTTAATATTTTAAATTGCAGACACACTGCATACTTCAGAACCTTGTTAACCACTTCCAGTTGCTGCAGTCATTTTTATGTTGGCAGCCTATGAGCCTAGTCACTCAGAAAGATGACTGAAAATTAAGATATCACCGAAGAATGCACTAAGTGTTCTGTGATATTGACTGGCATGTCTTTGAAAGTCCTTTCATTCTGACCTGGTGGAATCAGATTCTTCCTAGGGTACTGGATTGATGAATGAATGGCACAGAAACCAACTGTGATTATTGTTTAAAATGGGTTGATCTGTGATTTTGTTCTTAATAATGTTAAAGTTTTCATTACTTTCAGATTCTCTCTTCCTGTTATAAAAATTGCCAAATTAACTTTCAGAAGCAATAATTATTCTATTACTCCAGAAGACTTAGTTTGTGAGGTTCTTTGCTTCCAAATTCTAGTGAGGTCAAGGAATTCAAGCACGAGTTTACAGTAAACAGCTTAACAAGAGACTGGACAGCATGAAAGAAACTCTGCCCAAGGTTCATAAAAATAGATTGAAAGCACTGACTGTGTGAATCCCTTGACTGATTTCAAGGTCACTGAATTTGCATGTTTCCTTTAGCCAAGGGCAGCTGACCCCTACGGTGCTGAAATATGCTAAGGATGGCACTTTGAATGCAGATGTGAAAAAAAAACTTCTGAAAATACAGCCAAGTCCAAATACTCAGGTACCAGAGACTGTGCAATCAAAACTATTTTCCTAGGAGAGACAGCATTGCTACTGCTCCAGCATTGTCTGGATTGTTAAAAATACGGTAACTGTCCCATTTGCCTTGCCTGTAGCGAGTCTCACCTTTCCCTGCACAGTCCCCATACATAGCTTTTAGATAGCTCACCAGTATTTTTGCAGAGTTTTTCCTGTGAGGTTCTGCCACTGTGACATCTCTTCTCCTGATGTAATGAGAAATTGTGGAATTATATAAAAAAGCAGCAAGTTCAGGAGTGTCTTGTGGAACAGTAAACTGCAAAGAGAGAAATGGGAATGGAAATGACATACACATAGAACAATTGTAACAGATTTCTTCCTGTCTCAGAGGTGCTAAAGTTCGGATTAACAGTGTTTTTTCAATTGAACAGCACAATCATGAGAATACACTGTCTTCAGCTAGGAGCATGGTGAGTAATAGCACAGCAAAATATTGTGCAGTCATAGGAATTACAGCAGACATTTTTCTCCACTTTTTACTGATGTAATTTTGTTGCTTTACTTAATTCTGTTAGACTCTCAGGAGTAAATTCTGATTGAGATAACAAGATAAATTCAGAGTTGTTGCACAGTAGTTTAGTCATTAGTTCAGATCAGAATCTGCCTAATGAAATCTAATGATTTTATCAGTTTTAGAAAAATAAGGAAGTCTGACTTCAAGCAACACAATTTTTGATCATATAAAAAATATGTTACAGATTTGTTTTGCTAACAGATCAACTTTGTATAATGCAACAGCTTATTCATTTTTAATCTCAGATTAAAATGCATTCTCTTCAGCTTTGTATTTACAGATTTTTGTTCTCCAATTGAAAACTACTTTTTGTTGGCAGTTTGTCTTTAATTTCTATACAGGGCATTAATGGATTCTTTTATGAAGCCTTAAATAACTCCTAGAGCCAACTGCTGCAGAAGGAAAGATACATTTTAATTCATAATAATACAATCATGTAAAATCAAAATATACATGGAAAGATACATTTTAATTCATAACAGTCCAATCATGTGAAATCAAAATATACATGGAAGTTTACTGTAAGATCTCAACAGGAACTCAACTAAATATAGCCACAGCTATTCCTTAAGGACATCAAATTATAAAGCACTGCATCAGATACTTCTTATCAGTCCCTTTAACCTCTAAACACAAAATATCTTAAACAAAATCCTAAAGAAAATGTTTGTAATTTTAATAAATGTTGTAGCACTAAAGGGAAGAGAATAGCAATAAACACACAAAACCTTCCACACACTAATGCTGTGTAGTACTAGATTTGAAAAATTTGTGTCATTTATCTGATTAAAATTTTAATGCTATAAAAAGAACATAAACATCTGACATTGCCTGAGATCTTCAGTCAAAAGCATTCTGCAAAGGGAAAGAAAATATAATTCATTAAGTGTTGAAAACCCATGAAAAATAAAAGAATCCTCTTTTTTCCCTTTTTTTTTTTCTGTTGTTTCATGAGGTTAGCATTGTTTATTTGCAATAAGGGAGCCTGTAAGTAGCTAGTAAATATCTTCCTCTCAATGTGGTAACATGCAAACTCTCCTTCCAGAATTCTTCCACCAGCATATAGACTTCTTTAATGATGACAAATTAAAGAAAACCCCACAATATAGTAAAATGCCTGCAAAGAAGCCCTCAATATATTATCACAATGGATATATATGTAGATCAATTTGAATACTAGGAGATTTTTCTTTTTTCATAGATCCTAGAGTGTTAGCATCTTAGTAGTGAATTGTTTCAGCAAAGGTTCGAAAACAGCCCTTTGCAGTTAAGGGAAAACACGTGTCTACTGCAACCATTTAAAAGCAGAATTTGTCCAGTGGCCTAGATGTCCAGGTTAAAGATACTATTTTATTCCTCTTGAGCTGGTCACATGGAATTGCTCAACTGTACAATCTGTCTCTGTAGCTATTTTATATGCCACATATTTAGCACACAATACATTATCTTAGAAGATCTCTCTCCCTTTAACTACAGTGGACTGTCTCAGTTTCCCTGCCATGGAAAACTGTACTGCTTTCTGCTATAATTTCTAAAGTCCCCTGCCTCTCTGCCACTACTGTCCACCCCGCAGCAGCTAGAGAGACAGGGGAGATAGTTTAGCTTGTCAAAGAAGAACCTAAAAATTAGCTCTTTCCCTTTGCTGAGATGGCAGTTACAACTTTATTTCTTGGGATCCTTCAGGGTGAGGTTGCAGGAGGGAAAGAGCAAGAGATATTGATAAGCAGTCCTTTTTGAAGACAGGGGGAAAGGGGTGGAGGAATTTACACAACCAATAAGGGGAACTGGGGCGAACAAGATAACGGAAAGAAACTTACAATTCTACATTTTCAGGGGTACATTTTTTGGGTCATACCATTTTTCCTAACTGCATTACAACAGCTTTCTTCTCCTGAGCATTATTACTTTGAGCAGGTTTCCAGACCTCTCCAGTTCCTCACTTCTCATTTCAAAACCCTGTTTTGCTTTTCTCATTTTCTAGCCAGGCCTTTGTTGTATTGTGTAACTCCATCAGAAATGTTCTGGAAGAGGACTTTTTTACACAAAGATTACATATTCTATTCTATTCTATTCTATTCTATTCTATTCTATTCTATTCTATTCTATTCTATTCTATTCTATTCTATCCCATTCCATTCCATTCCATTCCATTCCATTCCATTCTGCATATTTATGTATATTATCATCAATATTATATATAATATATTCTATTACTAAATTATACACAAAATTATACAAGAGAGGTTGGTGACCATTCAAGAGCAATGCATTGGATGGTATTACTTTGTCCCAAGACCAAGCCCTAAACACAGTAGTAAGTTTTGCAGCATGAGGAGACAGTGCTTCTGGAAGGGGTTAGCTCCTGCCACTCATGTTGGATGTACCTTATACATGTGGTAGATTTTTGCTGCTATTTCACTGCTTCCCTGACAGATGCCTCACTCGTGGTACTGCAGTGCTCAGCTATGGAGAATGTGCCATGTGTGTTTGTGTATTCTACCACAGTGGCATTTATAGATACGAGTTTCATAAAAATGCTTTTTGCCATCAGTCTGTGAGAAAAAAAAACATCAGGAATATGTTCTCAAGCCAGAAGGCAATCTAACTGGGCCCTCTTCTCATCACAGCTGCCTTTAGGAAGAATAAGAAGGAAGTAAGAATGGGGCATGCATACAAAACAGTCTCCTAATAATTTTCAGCTTCCAAATGTTTTCAGATCAGGGACTTCCTTATCTATATGAAGTTTTTGTTAATTTACTAATCTTCAATGACCTCTTTTGGGAATTTGTTTACTTTCCTCTTAGAATCCTGTACACTTTTAACCCTGACTGCTTCCTTTTGGCCACATGTTCCAGATACCTGAGATCTGCCACCATGAACCATCACTTCCTTTTGCTTGTTTTGAATCTGTCTATCCAGGCCTCATTAGATGTCCCAGTTCTTGTGCAGGAAGAGGCAGAGAACAGTCAATCCACACCCACGCTCTTCCTGCCACTACTCATTTTGAGGATCATATTTGTGGATGGTCACCTCTTTTCTAGATCGAAGTGTCCTAGTGTACTGAGTTCTTCTGCACTGGAATTCATTCTCTATCTTTGATAAGTACTTTTGCTCCTTTTTACACTTTTTTCAAGATTCATAATTTTATCATCCTTTCCCATCCCTCATTGCCTTCACAGAAAGATAAGCTACAGAAAAGTCCCTAAACAAAGTATTCCCATGTGTGACTTTGTGGACTAGACAACAATGCTCAAAGAAAACCTTTTTACAAGACAAGAAAATCAGCAGTGGGGAGGAATATACTGCTTTGATTGAAATAGAACAATCTGAGTAATTGCAAAGGGGAAATGTCTTGGTGCCCTAAGAGAGGTAGGTTCAGATACTCAAGATAAGTCAGGCATTTAATGTCTTTAGCCTTATTTGGAAATTTGTGCTAAGCATCTTGTTGTTTATACAAAACTTGAAGGAGTGTGTCTCTGCTTTCTGTTGCCATCTGAAGTAAAAGATAAGCATTACATATTTGAAACCTGATTTGTGTATTCATGCTGTTCAATGCTTTGAAAAACTGAAATAAGGAAAGGATATTTAACTTCTTGCCATAATGACTGCATCTAAAGCCATATTCTGTCACAACAGATGGACCATTACTACGGAAAATTTCTCACAAGCTTCACAAGAATTTAGTCTTTTTATGTAACAGATGCAATCATTCTCAAGTAGGAGAAGGAGGAGCAGACTAAAAATAAAATAAATAAAAAAAATATACATTGCTTGATAATGTCAGCAAGAACTGTGGCAGTATTCTAGACAGCTTCTTAATTCAATCTCAAACAGAATACAGTGACTAGGGTGGGAGGATGCTGAACTCCTTTTCATGTACTTGCAATCTGATCTGATCAATGAGTTTGAAAAGCTAGGCTTGCAAGTACAAATGCAGCACCTTAGCTTCTTCCTCCTCACCACTTTTGAAAAATGGGTGAAAATTAGGTAGAAAAGATATGTAGAAAAAAATCCCTGTCTCAAATCTTGCTGTACTTTGGGTATAAAATGGACAGACACTTTCTATCTTCTGTTTCCTATCACTCATTTGCTTTTTCTTTCTCTAAAGAAACTAAATAAAAGTGGAGTTCCAATGCCCCTTTGGTCTCCTGGGTGAAACACAAAACTCTAGCCATACTGTATTTGGTAGACATCAATTTTTCTTTAGTCTTTTAAAGTACGTACTGTAGTTCTGTCTGTTTAAGTTAAAGACTTGACTTGTAGCTCCTTAGGTTGTGAACACTCCTCATCACAAAAAAAGTTGTCTCCCCTTTCATTGAATATACTGAACTCAAACCCCTTCTGATATGCAAAAGATGTAGAGCATTTTTAGCACTTGTAATTCAGGTCTCCCTGAAAGATGTTTAACAGGCTGCTGCTTAAACATGAGAAGTGTTGTTGTTTACTCCAGAAATGTCTGGAATCCATCATGCTTAATAAATTGGATACCTTATTGTTGATGGGATAATAGCAGAGCTGTGTTTTGCCTAATCTTCTGACTCTGAGCCAAACCAAGCTCTTTTTGAGGGGATCTGCCATCACAAACATAGATCTTAAAGCAGGAAATTGTCCAAGCAGCCAGGGATCAGATTAGGAAAAACCAAAACCCTAAGAAAATTAAATGTGGCCAGGGATGTTAAAAACAATATGAAAAGCTTCTATGGATACTCAAACGAAGATAAGGGAAAATAAAAGTTTTCTCCAGAAGGAAACAAGAGACCTGGTTACCCAGGATGCAGAGAAGGCTGAGGTACTCAATGACTTTTTTGCCTCAGTTTTCACTGGCAAACACTCCAGGCACACTGCCCAAATCACAGGAGGGAGAATTAAGAACTGCCTGCTGTAGAATGTCAGGTTTAAGAACATCTAAAGCATCTGGAGGTTCACATGTCCATGAGACTTGATGAGGTGCATCTATTGGACCTGAGGGAACTGGCAGCTGAACTGGCTATGCCACTATCCGTATCTGAAAAGCTGTGGCAGTCTTACTGACTGGAAAAGAGGAAACTCCCTTTTCTAAAAATGGTGAAAAAGGAAAACCTGCAAAACTACAGACCAGTCAGTTTCGCTTCTGTGCCAAGCTCAGTCATGGGGCAGATCTTTCTGGAAACTGTGCTTAGGCACATATTAAACGAGGAGGCAATATGGCTTCACTAAAGGCAAATTGTGCCTGACACATATGGTGGCCCTCTGTGGTGGGGTCACAGTGTTGGGGGATAAGGGAAGAACAGCTGACTTAATCTACTTGCACCTAGACAAAGCATCTGTCACAGTTCCAGATGACATCCTGGTTTATGTGCTGGAAAGACATAGATTTGACAGAGCACTCAGAGGATCATGAATGGGCTGTGATCACATTCCACAAGGAATTGTGGTCAATGGCTTAATGTCCAGTTGGAGACAGGTGATGTGTGGTGTTCCTCAGTGGCTGGTATTGGGACAGGGCCCTTTTTAAAATCTCTGTTATAATCATCATCAACAGCAGTACTGAGCACACCCTTTATGTCAAAAGAGTAAAGAAACCAAAAATGTACCGAGCAACACAACACTCACATTAGAAATGTTATAGACTATCTATATCTTGCTTCTTACCCAGGAAAATGATCTTGGACTGTTAAAAATTCCTAAGAAAGTTCCATCCATTGTGAATTGTAGGGAGAAAAACCCAATCAAAATGCAGAAAAGGATGGAAATAAAATACTTACTTTTATTTGCATTGTATTAATAGGAGAGCTTGTTTGACAGTTCAATGGTCCATGTGTCTGAATGTGAAGAATATAAAGAAGAAATTCTTCTCTACTGGACACAGGCCAACCAACGTGGAGAACTGTATTGTTGATGGCACTTGGTCCTATATTGTGCAGCTGTTGAAGAAATATGATCAGTACTTTTCAAGGAAGTAAATAACAATAAAAAACACTGCAACAACCATTCAGATATCTTAAAATTCTTAGTGGACACAACCTTAAAGTATTTAGGGAAGGATGTATAGATTATTAATATAATTTTATTGATAGAGAATCTGTGGCAGGTTGGAGAGAAGAACCTCTCCACATTAGTCACAAAGCCAATGGAAAATCTGAGAGAACAGTCTTTTGTCTGAGTCTGTATTCAAGAAATCCATAACCTTTCCCATTTTTTCCTACATATGAAGAGTTTAAATTATCTAAAAAAGAAAAAAAAAATCTCAACCCAAAACCACTAGCAAATAAACCCCATCGAAATATGAACAATGAAACATAACAGATCATACTTGAAAACAGTAATCAAAACTTCAGAATACATACAAATCACATTACAGGGCACAAGAAGGTAGAGCAGAACTTTAACTAGCTTCTTTGGTTAAGAACTGTATTTTCAACACTTTCAATCTAAATTTACTCAAAAAAAGTAAAGGAACTACTTTTCCTAAATTAATATCCCAGGATGTTATTTTTTTCTGGGGAAAATGAGCAAAGATAGAAATAAGAAAAGTTTTCAAATCTAGGCTATTAAAATAGTTTCCTTATATCAGTTTACAGTTTGAAAATAACTGATGACAACAGGAGTCTGGATATGTGTTGTCACTGAACATGAAGAGTTAAAAAAGCTTAACACCATTGACTTTACACTAAGTTTGTAGAGATGTGAGAACCTCCTTTTTTTAAAAAAAAATTGCAGAATGTTTGTGACTGATGACCTTCAGTTACAACTAAATGAAAAGCCTTTCAATCTCACATCTTCTGGGAGACGGCTTGGTCTTTTTTATGCTTTTCTGATATAAACCATGTAAGTGGTTTCCTTAGTAACTGTAACTGATCACTGTAATTATTTTAATATATTTGAACTCACAAATACAGTTTCACAAACAACCCAAATGCTTGAGACAGGATGATTTGTTAAGTATTTTTCAGTTTAGAGAAATATGTTAAGACGAGGAATTCACAAATGATAATTTGTATTTTACAGTTGTATTCACTACACTTTAGTATGTCATGCAAATTGTAATCTTACACTGCTGATTAAGCTCAGTTGCTTATGTTTTCTTGAGTGCAAGTTTGTGAATTATAACCATATGTGAAGCCCTCTGTTTTACCCTCTAGAATAAAGGCCATCCATCAGATTCTAAGGATGGCTTCTATTCCATGTAGTTCACACAATACCCTTTTTCTAAGCTGAACTCTTTTAATTGACGAATCATCCATAGGAAAAATTCAACAAAGATAGAAGGTAAAAATTTGTGTACTTCAAACGTTAAAGAGTTATTTTCAACAGAAAATTTTCTGATGTAACAAATTACATGCATGTCTACATTATTTTTTCAGTTAGCTAAATGTCAAAGAAAACATTTTTTCCAGTGCACAGCATGCACAGCTTCTACTGAGAAGATATTTAACATTGATTATAAGGAACTTTTAAGGACTGTTTTTAATTCTTGTCAAACACCCAAAATGTTTATAAATCCCTTAAATATCTAAGACAAACTCCTAGCATAAACTGGTATCTCCTCCACTCACATGAACAGATAATGGGGTTGTGAATTCCCAGATTAAATTTGGGTCATGTGGTAAAGTCAGAGTATTTACATTTGTGGCGTTATCTAGCTACAGATAAAGACAATAAACCAAACTTGTCAGGAATTCAGTGGGGGCAGCGTGAGGTCCTGAGTCAACAATGTCATTTTTACCTCATAGATGTGTTCTACTAAAGGACCAACTTCTTCTTCTTTCGTAGGTTCATCTTTGGGTTCCCAGTTGTGAAGTGGAAAAATTATGGTTGGGGGGTGAGACACTCTGTAATATACAAACCAGGTTAAAACAGTAACTGTTACCAGTGACTGATTGCATCAGTTTTAGAAAAAAATGTTGACCACTACAAAAAACTGGGCTCTCAAAGGCTTGTTACTTGGGCACATTAATTACAATTAGGTGAGGTGAATAATACAATGTCTCCATAAAACACTACCCAATCCTTGCAAATGCCTGAGGGTGCGCGTTTAGTGTCATGCTTCCTGTAATGGATTGTCCTTTCCAGAAAAGGGTGTAGCTCTGTTTGGAGAGAGGAATCCAATCTGCTGGGCATTTATATCATCACTGATGAGATACCTGAATACACTATCCACAAAACTAGAGTAAATAAATGTATTTTTCTATTTCCATTTAAAGCCTGTAGGTATTTAATGCTATACATCTTTCTTCCTAGAATACACATTTATAGATTTCTTTAACTGTTCTGACTGTAAATTTCTATAACATCTCTTATTACTCCTTTAAAATCCTTGCAAGGTAGCTTATCTCATCTTACAGATGGGAAACAGAGATATAGTGACTTCCATAAAATCATGATGAAAACTGGTGTAGTGAGAAACAGAATTTGGGACTGGAGTCTACAAGAGTGCTCCAGGCTTTCCAACTGTTTTGCGAACAAAGTGGCACTTAAAGCATTCCCTGAAATATTGTTGCAACTTGCAACACATAAATAAAACACAAACAAAGAAAACTGTGACTTAATATTTGACATCTTTCCAGCTGCTTTTTTATTTTTCCTTTTCTTCTCTATCTGACCTTAAGAATTTAGTTAACATTTTTATTACAATCACAAACACTTAATTTCCCATAAAATTGGAACTTTGTCATACTGCTCCCATTCAGATGTCAACTAAACCTCACTCAGGTGTTCAGAAGTTGGGAAATCAGACCCCAAGAATTTCTTCTAGCATGATAAGTTAGTTCTGGCACAGACATCTGTCACTTTCAAGTACTGCATGTAGCTCTTGGTGCTAAAATTGTATTACCTTTTCTTTGCCAGGGTCAACTCTCACTCAGTTTTGCTGGTTTATGGAGCATTTAGCTGAAAGAAAAGTTCTGCCAGAGCTGGACTTTTGCTAACAGAAAACTGTTAAAAACCAATCATTAATTTTTTTGAAGTGTAGAATTTGAGTAACATGATGGACTTCTAGGCACTGATGTTAATCACTTTGCAGTAGCCCTGTGGCAGATTGCCCCTTGAAGAAAAGATTGGATGGCTTTGTTGCAAATGCTGAAAAAATACTATTGGAAGAAACTGTTTTCAATTACAGCTCCTTTGTCATATACAATGAATGAAATGTCTGAAATAAAATTTTCTACAGTACACAGCTTCTAAAAGCTGCAAGAAATCCCAGAAAAGAACAGCCTAATACCATCCAGCTGAAGTACAACTCTTTGTGAAATTTGATGTACTCTGGAATATCCTGCTAACTCTTAATACTTCCCCTGACTTCAGAATGCCAGCAGATTGTACTAACAAAAAAGTATGCCAGAGAACAAATCCACAAGCCAGCTCTAACAATAAAAGAAGCTCAATTTATTCATTAAAAAAGTAATTTGATTATGTACTTAGCCTAAGTTTCACAAATCATATTGTTTCCAATATGAATTTTAATTGTTGATTGCTGTTGGAGATTAGGAACTTCAGGGTGTTATTACAAAAGCCAAAACACATAGACCCTTAATCTACCACAAAAAACCTGCAAATCAGAAACTACAGAGACAAAAAAAAGGTATGAGGTTTCAAAACTGAGTGTTTTCTATTGCACTGCCAGGGAAGTATTCTTATTCATGGAATTACAAAACACGAAGTATAAATTTGGAGATTAAATTGAAATTATTGTGGCGTATATAAGAACATGTATTTTAACAGAATTTACAGTTATTTTGAGAACTTCTGCTATTGACATAAATGTAGCAAAATTAGGTCAAATAAAAAAATCCATTATTTTTACTATTTTATTTTGCATTTAATTAAAACTAAAAAATTAAAAATTAAAAAATTAAAAAATAAAATTAGAAAATTAGAATTTAAAAATTTAAATTAATTGAAAATATTTTTAACATCTGAATGTTTTATTAGACAAGGATTTTTCCTAGACTTTTAGGTGACAATTATCATGAAACAAGAGTACTGAAAAATAAGATAAATGAAGTATTCCACAGAAAAGGCTTATATGGGGATATACAATAAAAATTCTGCCAGCTCCAAATCCTCTCAATCCAAATTACTTCCTTCCTGAATCCCTCATTCCTCCAGTGCTTTTTCAGCAGTGGTAGATAACAATGACAATACTAAACTCTTATATTTTTAGGGATGGAAAAAGGTAAGCAGAATAATCAAATTTTAGTTATCAAAGCATCTGCTTATTGAACTATCTAAGGAGGTATGTTAATTTTCTTTTAAAGAGGATATTTAAGAAGATTTCTTCCTTTCTCACAGAAAAGAAAGGTTTCACTGTGCAAGTAAATCTGTCTGCATGCATATGCACAATTTCATAACCACTTACTTTTCCTCAGTAAAATGTACAATGCATCCAGTTCCACTCTGTGCAACTCTTGGAAGACAAGAAACTAATGCAAGATATTTTCCAGTCCAAATGTGGACACAGTCTCTCTTTTATTTTTATATAGAAAATAGTGAGCAATTCCCTTGGAACTGTGTGTTTTAGCATCTCTGAGTAATTAGCAAAATATGTCAACAAAGCAGTTGGGAATGCTATAGCTAATAAGAAACTTAAAATACTTAAAAGGAAAGAAACTGGAAGTCATTCAATTAAGTAATTCCTCTGTATTTAATAACCTGTTTCTTAGAAGTGCAGGCAGCAATTCAAGAAACTTTTTCTGCTTATTACCAAGCTCATAAGTACTGAGGATTTTGTGGTCATTTTTTGGTTTATCTGTTTACCTGTTACAGAACATTTTGTTAAAAAGAACACACTATGGCACAGTAAAAGCATGATGGAGGCAAAGTTTCCAAAGAGTCTCCAAAGAATAAAAAGTTTGCAAGACTTTTTTATTAAATTGAGGAGAGACTTCACTAAAAAAATAGAATCAACAGCACTGGAAACAACCCTTGCTGGGACGTCCTGTGTATGCAACCATACCTATTCCAGTCTGAAACTCCAGACAGTCTCTAGCCTGGGTGTTCACCTGTGGCAACACCTAGCAGCCGGTGGCTCCCAACACTTTCTCACACATCTGCAGCCCATTAAATAATACCTTTGATTATCTTTTCCTCAACCTCTACTTCTGTATTACACCATTTGTGTTTTTCACCTCTCTTTCTATCCAGCTCATTTCCTTAAATGACCACTAACTACAGAAAATGAAATAATATTCTCACATCTGTTCTTATTAAATATATTGTCTTTCAAGTGCTCCTTTTCAGAAATAAAATAATTAACATATATACACACAGTCTTTGAGCACCAGCCTTTTTTTCCACCTGACTAGTTTTAGGGTCTTCTTAACCTGGAATACACTTACAAAATACAGTGAAAAATACTTTAAAAATCTCTGTGATTTAGACTGAATATTAGACTAGATTGGAGGAGATAGATTGAATATTAGAACAGAAAAAATGTTCTCTGTGATCTGCAAAATAATGTAACATTGCTAGCACTAGGCAGTCATATTCTCTTGCAAGTGACAATAATAAATGCATTTATATAAATGAAAAATACCATAAATAAACACATTTTTTATTTGTTTACATCTAAGGCAGCCCCTTGAAGTGTATCACATAAGAGACATCTACTCCTCTTGCATCAGCCAAGCCTCATGGCCTGACTATGGAAGTGAATCTGGGTCTTGTAGCTCCTGTTCAACCCTTGCAGAGCTGATAATGGTTACAGGTTTCTTTGAGCTGTAGGTTCATAAATGGAGATGCAGGAAATATAATATCCCAGACAAAAAGCATTGGGGCTAATTATTTGCTTTACAAAGACATCCTCCTGACTTTCTCCAGGGTGCCAGAACAGGAGTCTTGCTCCAAAACTTTACAGGGTACTCTAATATTCTTATAAAATCTTACAATCATTTAGGTTGGAAAAAACCTTAAAGATCATTGAGTCCAACCATAAAACTAGTACTGTCAAGTTCACTATTAAATCACGTCCCTCAGTACCAGATCTACACGTCTTTTCAGTATCTCCCAGGATAGTGATTGTACCACTTCCCTGAGGAGCCTCTTCCAGTGCTTGACAACTCAAAAAAGTTCAAGCTGCTCTGTTAGCGACAAGAAAATTTTCCTGATATCTAAACTGAACCTCCCCTGCTGCCACTAGAGGCCACTTCATCTTATCCTGTCACTTGTTACCTGGGAGAGAAGACTTATTCCCACCATAATACAACCTCCTTTCAGTTAACTGTAGAGAGCAACAAGGTCTTCCTGAGGCTCCTATTTTCCAGGGTGAACACCCCCAGTTCCCTCAGCTGCTCCAGGCCCTTTACCAGCTTCACTGCTCTGCTGGACTTGCTCAAGTACCTCAATGTTCTTCTTGTAGTGAGGGGAGCAAAAATGATCCAAATATTCGAGGCATGGCCTCACCAGGGCCAAGTACAGAGGGTTGATCAATGCCTGTTGATCAATGGCCACATTATGTCAACCCAGGATGCCATTGGCCTTCTGGTTCATGTTCATCTGGCAATTATCACCTAATTGCATTCTATAATTTCCAAAATTAAGCTGTATATGAAAACAGATATAGAAATTATCATCTTTGATTATATCCTGTGGTGATTTAATTTTGGTATACTTTGTGTCAATGGACAGTTTATCATAACTCATTTCTTACTCATCCTTTCCCCAAAGGTGTCACTCTGCTCTCTATTAGTACATGCATTGCCATAATGTGCTTCACATTTCCAGCCATAAAAGCAGTATATTCTGTCCAACTAGTTGCACAAGAAGACCTACACAAATAAGCAGGCATTTTATATTAGTAACACAGTTTGAATGCCTGAATAAAATGTTGGCTCTGACTGGTATTACTGCAATGTGAGATTCTTTAGGTTGCTGTCTTTGCACAGACACTCAACAAGTCTCCATTCTGAAAGGCTTGCAGGGGTAAGACTCAGGTGTCCTTGACAGATAATGCATTTGAGTTTATAATATGCCAAAAGATTCACTACCTGGAATTATCATATGCAGAAAGATTCTGTAAAAAAGTAGCTACCATAACGAGTTGAAATAGTTGAATACTTACCCTCTGATCTGTACTTGAGCCACAGCACTGATGTTGATATGGAGGTTCACGAAGTTGCTGGTGGGATTTATTTTGTTAGAACTGGAAAAAATATGTACAAGTATTAACAAAGTTTTTATATCAGAACTCTAGATTATCGTATCACTCAATACACAAGGCTTGCTGGACATATTACAAAATAGGATTCTTATTGCCACTCTTCAGTCTTGTAGGACACTGGTATTCAAGTTGGATATTATTTGAGCTCATCACATATTTAATAATATCTTCAACTCAAGCTTCTTTTAAAGAATCTTGTGATTATGAATAAGATGATACAAATTTATATGGCTCAGAATATCATGTCAATTCCTTTGTACAACTTGGCTTTCTGTATGGATAAAAGTATCTTTATATAATAGAAGTTTGTTTCCTTCATTGGAGTAAGGCAGTGTTAATAAAGAAGACAGGCTTTGTTAGGATAAAATTTATTCTTATGACTCCAAACTTGTGACTTTTGCATGACAGAGTCTTTGGGTAAAAAGAACCAAGGTCAAGTGTTTCTTTCATTTTCTTATTTTCTTCCCTCCCCTATCCAGAGTGTTTACATTTTTAAAACCACTTAGTAGTTCTGAAACTTAGAGGTCTGAAAACAGATCTCTGTGTTTAAAACCTAGACCTCTCATTGAAGGCTACTCCTGTGATTATAGCCCATTCATATAAAGAAAGGTTTGCAGGTTCAAATTCATGAAGATAGTGAAGTAATTACAGAATTAGAATTTATTTAATTATAGGATTAACAACACTAAATTTGGATTTTTTTTTCAGTCAAGTGTGGTCCTCTTTGATCCATGAACAGTATGTTTCTATTGCTGTCCCAGTTTGCTGTTATCACATCTGGGTAGCATCAGTCCATTGGAAACATTCAGAGGAGGTCAGCATTCCCAGTGACTGCTGAGGAGTAAAGAGCAACACTGCTTTGATCCAGGCTTTCTGGTTACAGATTGCTAAAATTAACAGCAGCTCTAATTTGTTTGTAAATTACTGCAGATTCCCATCAAACGTTATTTGAACTTTAATGTAATCCTCTATAGCCATTGAGTATAAATGTACAAAAAATGTTTGAATTACAAAAATTATTATGCCACTACTTTTTTAGAATAAGCTGCTATCCAATTTGCATATTCGTCCTACTTTCCACAGACTTAACATACAGATTTTGATCATATATATCTGGTATTCAAACCTTGTTCATGCTTTATGGCATTTTTTTAGAGAAGAAAATAGTTTAAATAAAAGTGCCAAGACATCTCTCTCTCTAAGGGGTACATAATTGCATAGCAACATGCACATGAGAAAAGGAATCAGATTTCAAGACACAACTCAGCCTCTTGCTTGTTTCTTATAAGTAATGAATTTCAGTTTTGCAAATCAAAATATTCATTTTCCACTTGATGTTTTGAAGCAAAATAAAGTTCTCTCTTTTGAATAAATTAAAGTAGGGCTGAAATTGAGATGTATTCTTGCCTCCATTTAGGCAATTTCCTCTTTTTGCCTCACAGAGTTCTGTTCCCTTTTTCTTTTAGGATTATTTTACCTGTTCACTAAGGACATAGAAACACACAAACTGTCCTGCTGCTTGTGAATGAATGTACAAAGCAGTGAGTTTTAACTGCAGGGTACATTCCCTATGCAAGAAATTTTACTCTTTTATTCTTTCCTTTTTTGTTGTTTTTTAAATAGCTGTGTGCTCTTCAGCATTTTCCTACAAGTTTATAGCCCAACACATTTCCTTCCTTTGCATTTTAGTGAGAGTGAGTACTCTCCTTGCACTCAGAGAGGAAGCATGAGATGTTATTTTCTCCTGAAGTTCAGACTTAATACTCAGGGAATTCTTGTAACTTTTTAAAAACAGTTACCTACATTCAACTCTTACTACCTAGACAGATTTAACAACACAAAAAGCTCTGGACCTTTCAAATTTCACAGCATGAAAAGGGTAATGACATGAGCCTTGGATAACCATTTAAAACTATTGCTTGCTATTAGGAAATGGATAGTGGCATGGACAGGGGACCTACAAGGTAAATGTTGTGCCTCTCTCTAGAGGAGCTCATGTCCAGGTTTACATGAACCCCAGGCAGATTCCAGGGAGAGGGCTGAGCACCTAATGGATTACTGTGGCATTGCTGTGCCTTTCCTGAATTTCTGTATGTCCTTTCCTTTCAAGGGTTACATTATGAAGACATGACTTACACATTTAAAATGTCTCAGTTATTTACCATCATGTACATGATCAAGGCCCTCATTAAAGACCAGACATTAGCAATTAAGTCTCTGTGTGTAGGGCAGAGAGGGCCCCATACAGAACTCCAATGTGTATTTGGTGAGGACAGATGGAGCAGAAGCCCTGCTCCTACTGAAAAAGTCCCAGGTTTGTTTTTGCTGTTATCCTAACTCAGCCCACTCTGTGCTTTTTTGTCCCTGTGGAAGAAGTACTGCTCAGCATAAAACAGAAGATTCTACAGTATTAATATGTGAGGCCCACAAATGGGGATGAATCTAATGCAAAAATGACAAAGATTCACCTGCATCAAACTGAAACAGTTCTCTCCATGCCAGTAAACCTGCTGAGCAGATTTTAACTGCTTTTCTTTTATTTTCTAATTTTTTGTGAAGAAGAAGCATGTCTAGTTTAATTCAGAACATGGTATATTTACACATATTCACCTTTGTTATAAAGTGATTACTGTTTATTAATTCTGAAGTAGAAAATAAAGTTCGAATTTGGAAAATCTATAGAAGATCCTCAGATTATTGACCAAAATCAGTTAACCTGAATTTTAAAGAAATAAGACTTATTTTCCTAACAGCTAACAAGGCTCCAACCTCAAAAATCCTCCTGACATAAGCTACCATTGACACTGAAATAATTACTGATACTCAAGAGGGACCTTATTATATAATAAACTTCATATGTCAATAGGAATTGATAATTTAATTGACCATGCTCTTGATAAAATATCTAACCTTTTTATTTGCAGCTCAAAGTTGATGCTGAAATCTGCATTTTCGAAATGCTGAACAGAAAATCGAATGCCAGTGGAGAACTGAGAAAGAAACAAAACAACAGGTTACTACAGCTGATTTCTCCAGATCAATAAAGCAATACTGTTCAACACTGCATTTCACAGAATTATACTGGATACTGTTGTTTTTTAAAATTAATGTGAAATAACATCATCTAGTTGTTCTCAGGAAAAAATACCATCCTGTCTGTGTATGTCACCAGATGGAAAACTTGGCTGAAGAGAGGAAAGATCAGAGAAATAGAGAAGCACATTCCCATGAACACAGCAGTGGGCCCTTCTTCATCCAGACAGTCATTGCCAAGCCAAGCCAAGCCAAGCCAAAAGAAAATAACAGTTGTTTGGCAGCTCTCATCCCTGCCTCCATCCATGCATGCCTTGGTCCAGGTCTGCAGGGATTCCTGGTCCCAGCACTGTCTCTGCACCTGGGAGCTCTGCACTGCATGCTCGTGTTAGCAAGCATGTGTTAGGTGTTGTGGGGCTGACTGAGCACCTGATGCTAAATTAGCAGCAGTTTTAATTTACTTTTAGTTTGAGTCTTTTTTTCCATTGCAGTTCTATTAAGAGGAATACAGCTTCAAAGTTATATTTGCAGTTCAATTTGCCACAACTTGGAGTGAGTGACCAGAGGAGAGAGTAAAACACAGTTCCCAAAACTGATGGAGGTAAGTGCTTCCACTGGTGCTGCCTTGCGTTTAAGCAGATCTAGCATCCTCCCTTTGAAAATTTCCGTTTGTTTTGAAAGAGAGGCAGGGATAAGCAGATCAAGTTTATTCAGAGGAGAGAAGGGCTAACTAGAGGAGGAATATACAATAGCCCATGTTGGGGTCTCTGTAAGCCTCTTGTTGGACGTATTTACAGCCTCAGTGTGTAAGTGGCAGGTAACAGGAGATGCCATCTGCCCTCAGTGTAAATTAATTAAATTCTACTGCAATGTTAAAGTAATTGTTTTTTATTATTTCAACTGCACATTTAAAATCTGGTAATTTTAAAAATGTGAGTTTTGCAATTCCTACAACTTCTTACTCCCCCTCTACCTTCCATCTGCCTGATGGCAGAATTTTTTGCAGGATAACATGCACATTGTAATTCCATTTTTTTGAAAAGGATGGTAACACATAGATATATTCTGCATGTGGAGAAACAATCTTCCTGAGAAATTAATCAAAAGGCATCAGGAAATGAGGACATCATTCCCTCATTTCTGCCAATGTCTGACTAGATTGGGGGGCAAGGGGGTAAGAAAAAACAAGTTGTCTGCTTGGCATAATTTCCTTAGAATATTTAAGGAAACCTTGTCAACAGGACAGGACACACCAATGTAGGGACTTACATTTAACATCAGCAAAGATGAGAAAAATTCTTCTGTGGATGTCATTTAATGTTTAAGTAATTCCTTTTTCCCCACCAATTTTTTTTCATTAAATTCTCATATTTCTTCATTTGCAGTGGTGCAACACTATCCATCACCAGAAAACCTACCTAACATGTTTCAGCTACTTTCAGCTGACTCATGCTGAAGCAATACTGCCATCATAAATGGAATGGTGAGTTCAAATCTTTGAATTCTAATTATCTTAATGTCCTAGTAACAGTTGATCTCTCCTTTTCAAAGCAAAATCTTTCAGATGAAAAGACAGTGCTCATAAAATTACTCAGAAGTTGAATAGCTGACTTGGAATAGGTATGTAAGCTCTTTTTAATTTTAAGCTCACTTTTTGGAGATGATATTAGCAACTCTATTGATATTCCATTCACCTTTAAAAATAGAATGACTTTAGTCTTTTAGACAAAAATTTCCAAATATTAAACTCACCATTTCTCTTACTGTTTTTACTGACCAGTCTAAATAAATTTGTTTCCACTTATAGCAGAAAAGATATTTGATAAACCAAAGATAAAATTTTCATCAGACAGAGCAAACATGAACTGCCGTTTTGATGATCTATTACACCCCTGAGGCTTAATCCCCTATTTATTAGTGAAACATGCTCCTACTGTACAACTCTAATAAGTTACAGATGTTGTCTTTGTATAGTCATATGACTTTGTTAATGTCAAGTAACCCTTGACATTGCTACTAATAATGGGGCAAAGATGCTCACATGCCCTTGCTGAAAACCCACGGAGGCCAAAGGAGTTTAACTTGCTTGAACCTATAACTTAGCAATTACTCAACATCCTCATTTTAGTAGGACATAAATTTTATCAAAACAAAAACTTTATCAAAACTTCCAAAGTGAAGTTCGTTTCATTAAAATTGCATTATTTCCATGTTTGTAACATCATGTATCTTTGAAATACATGACATTTCTGCTATTACTAGTAAATTTAATCTATTATGTTTGAAAGGATTTAGCAGAGCTGGGAGACAGAGCTGTAGCTTTTTTGAAGTGTCTTACAGTGCATAAGAAAGATAAAACTTGGCGCTCTTGAAGAATCAGTTTGGTGCATACCAAGAAATAGGCAAGATCTTCCAAGCCTCTAGTCTTCTAACCTTCTTTCTCTTAATTTCTATAAACTTCCAGATTTTTCTACTAGATTTTCTCACTTGCTAATGCCACTGAACGGCATTAGGAAGCTTGTCAGTCTGATCCATTCCAGTGTCATAAATAAATATGTTGAGCAATCTTTGCCAGTGAGATGTTGTCATACATTTAGTTTGCATTTGGCATTGAGGTTTTCCTTACCGATTATTTTTCTCTTCATTTTTACTCTTTCATCTTTGTTTTCTTTTTTAACTTCAATGATATTACTGATAAGGTGAAGTATTTTTTTGGGGCCAGTCCTTTTTTAAGGACTCAGATGACATAATGCATTTTGAAGATGTAAAGTGTCAGACAACCCCATAGTCTGCTGCAGTAATATCCCATGGATTATATTACAAAATCCCGACATAACCCTCATACTCAGAAGTTGATCTTCAAGAGGTCAACAATTCTAGGATTTCAGGGTGCTGGCAAGTCATTAAGGTGACTCAATAGTTAAGGAGTTTTAGGAATGTTCAATTTTGACCTTATCCTTCCTTCCCACTCACAACTTCCACAAAAAGTCCCTTTCTGAATATTTTGAGAATAACTGATCTCCTGCCAGAGCAGAATTGTTTTTCAAAACTGGAAATGGATCAGAGCAACCTTTTGAGATTTATGCAATTTGTACAAAGGGCTGGTATTTTGCTTTTGGAAGTACATTTGCCATCATAAATATGTTTGGACTGAAAAACAACAAGTCCTTTCACCTTTACTGAGCTTCCAGGAGAGCTGAGCTTCAGAGAGCTTCAAGATAAATTTAGGATTTAAGATTTCACTTACTCTAATCAAACAATGTTGCCATCTGGCTTGTAATGCTCTACCTTTATATACCTCAATTTTAAAGGGCTGGATTATTTTCTTATAAAGTAGAAAACCCTTGAATATGTTATGAACCCTGCTGTTTTATTCTGCTACTTCTCTCTTTATGAAGTAGTTTGCTTAGGAGTGTCTGGTAATGGCACTTACAGCAGTCCCAGAGTTGATTCTGAAGAAAAGAATTATTAGTTCTGCTGTGAAAATTCATAAAGAGGCAGGTGAGAGTGGTAATGTTTTAGTGGCCACCAAATGGCATTTCTGAAATCTTCACACTGCTAGCATTTTGGGTGAAGGATAATATGGAAATAGGGCTTTGGATTCAAAGGGAGGAATATGAGGGTCTGTAGTCTAACACCTCTACAATCAGACCTTTCCATCACTTATGCTTACAACAATACGCAAACTACAAAGATTTTTTTCTCGGTATACAAATTAGTGTCTCTTGTGTTTGGTCTTCCTTTTCCAGCACAAAGGGTTTTACGCTCTCCTGTCCCACTCCAGTGCATCCCAACCACCCATACTATTCTTGTCCACTTCTGTCTGTATACTGAGAATTTGCTTCTGCCTTGAGACTATCTAGGAAACTACTAAGCAGGTAAGTAAAACAGCTGTCTTCTTAATACAAGAAATTATTTGCCTTGAATTGGAAATTTGTCTCAAGCTTTGGCCCATCATTGTGTCCCATCATTCCATTATGAAAATTCCATTACTCAGAAATGTTTTCAATTACTTTCAATTTTTAGGATTTTCATTAAGTAGAATAAAACAAAACATACAAAATCTTTTGGCCTTCCTGTCTATGTCCTTCCCAGAAAATGTTTATAGTAATCTCTTCAGTCCTCTCATTCAAAGTTGTTCAATGGAGAAGGAACCTCACTAGGAAAATTCCCCTTCCCAGGAGGTCCATCACCCAGAGTTGAATCTTCAGTGGTTTCCACCTCCCTGTAGTCCTAAAGAATCTGTGGGACTGCCTGTGACTATGCAAGCAGATGACTGTATGAGACACCTGCCCTTACTCACATTCTAAATTTCTATGGCTGATCTGAAGCTATTCCTAAAATCCAAAGGAACTTCTTCTAGTCCCAATCTCCAGTTATATGACCCATTTGGCTCTTCTGTCAAGGGTCAGACAAGAACTTCTTCAAGATTAAAAGAAGCCAGGAAAGTCCCCCTCTATAGAGAGGCTGAAGATTGAAATACCAATCTTCCATGGGATAAACCTTAGCACAGATTTTGAAAATACTACAGAAATTTGCTTTGGTTTTTTGCAAAGCCATAGGTCCAATATGAAATTCAAACAGTAGTAGTTTTCAATTAAAAGTTGCTATTTATTCCTGATATATGTTTATGCTGTCAACTGCTTTGATTTTATTAGGACAGTTTTTTTATCTAGGTATCAATAGTTAGATTTTTTTCTTTTAGTTAAATATTCATAGAACTTAGGAATTTATGAGAAACACTAAACTCATCCGCAAGAACATCCATAGCTGAACATTCCTGGATTTAACGCTTCTGGGATTTCCTGGATTGTTTTGTCATGAAATAGGGATGAAGAACTATAATTGTGGATTTTTTTTATCTCCAAACTTATTTTTATCCTTATCTAGTGTTCATCGTCAGTTATCATACAGTTCTGCTTTGTCCAAAAACAAGGCTACCATCATTCCATCCAATGTGTAGTATGATTTATAAGAGGCTGTTTTAGGAAAATCTTCAGTATTAAAATAATAACTTTAAAGTGAAAGTTTATTTCAAACACAATTTCCTAGATATAAATTTTTTAAACTGCTAAGACAACCCCTATGTACTCAAGATGAGAATCAGATTGAAGAAGTTGTCACTTACTATACATATATCTATATATTTTAAGTAGAGGGAATACTAAAAGGGAGAAATAAACTGATCACGTTATAGATTGGAATTCTCATTATACTAGTATACTGTATGTATATATATACAACTTCTAATGAAATGATAGTGATAAATTGAGTCACTCTCACTTTCTTTCAGTGACATAAAACCTCAAGTTCTAGAATAATTAATATTTTAGGAAAACATAATGTTAATTTTTCAGAAGCACAGTTCTGCTTCTTATTACACCAAAAAATTCTTGTCCAGGTAAATAATTTGGTTTATGTGCTGCTTATTGGGACACATTCTGGTAATTGAATAAATTTCCATTTGTTCCCCTTTAAAATTCAATTAGATAAAAATCAGTAAATGCATCTGGTTTTCCCTTACGTTTGCTCCAGCCACCATGGGGTTCCCAAGATCACAAACCACCATTCTAGTTTCATTTTCCATCTTGTAATCACAGCTCAATACACGCAGTGCCTGCAACAAAAGGACACCAATACAGAGGTCAGAGATCACAGTGAAATGTATCCAGTTGGGAAAGTGATGCCTTTTTGACTGTGACCTTTCTTTTGATTTCAGACACCTGCTTAGTGCACTATCAAAACATTTAGTTGGTTATTGTCAGACAACGGGGGAAACTGATGCCAGGGAAAAACAAACAGGATAGTTTCCCAGTACATTAAGAATCATGATGAGATCACTCTATGTCTAGTTTTACCATACTGCTTTGTTGCTGTGAATCATTCCTATCGCCATAATGACTCAACAGAGAAACAAAGAGTAACCAAACTAAGCAAGAATAGGTCTCACAGTAATTACAGTGTTATCCATCACCAAAGTCTCTATAATGAATTTCTGACATTGGAAAACTTGAGTATGGATCAATTCTAGATCTTTGTTTTCCAATCTGTGGTAAAACCGAATGTTAAACGCTTCTGTAAAAACATAAACTGTTATGTGAGTTTATAAATTAGCAACAAAAGAGATAGACTTTTACATTATCAGATATAAAGGTTTTATTGTTTATAGCAATCTTTATCACTAGTAATATCATCTGTAAACAAAAAGTCTGCAAGAGGAGGAACAGCTATAAAATAGTGCAAGCTAGGAGATACAGAATAAGGCAAAGCAATAAAATGAGGGGAGGTTGCAACAAAATGTGGGTTTGTTTTTGTTTTTTTCTGTTTTCCTTTCTGACATCTTCAGTAAATGAAGGTATTTCCATATATGTGCAGAAGTAAACCAGCCTGTAAAGCAGGATGCAGCAAGTTGCATTACCTTTCTGCTCATCTGTGCTTCTCACAGATAAAGCAGTGTGAACAAGTTCATGCCCTTTACATAAAAAAGACCTGGGAAATCCCTGGACCAATTTTCCCTATCTGTAAAAGCCAGCATGGACATGCTGTCCTCATAATTTCCTGAGTTTAAAAGAAAAGACAGGGCATGTCCTAAACAGAGTCCATGTGAAGCATGCCCTCAGCACACACCTCATTGTGCACTGACATTTTTACAGTTTGCTAGGAAGAAGCAAAGTTTGTTACACAGCATGTTCAGTGCACTAATAGCCTTCCCAAGCTTCTCTAGGGTTGGGAGGGAAGCATTTTTATACTCTTTCCAGATGGTTAATTAGAGGTGGGAAGCAACACATGGGAGAAAAGAGGGTGTTAACACAGTTGGAGTCAAACTTGTCTGGAAAATTGTCCATTTGATCTTGATGTGTGGGTATATAATTTTGCTTTTGTTGGGGAGGAAGGTTGAAATTTAGGTTTAAAAGTTAGAAATAAATACTGATTTATATTAGATATTTGTAGATAGTTTCTTTAAAGATGCTGTATCATAGACCAGCACAGAGTAAATCAGCCCTTTTTGTCCCTCAAAGGCTGAGAAAATAGAGGTATTTTTCAAGTAGTTCCTCTGCAGTCTGGAGGCTATGTTTCTAGACTAAAAATGATTAATGGTGCAGGATTTCAACGACCAGCATCACAAAAGCTAATTTGTGCAGTATGAAGATGTGACAAAGTGTCAACTGTGGTAGAATTCCTTCCATAATGAGATTTACTGTCTTTGTTTTTATATTGATCACCTTTCTGAGGTGATTAAGTACAAAACAGGAAAATTAAAATCAGGCAGGAAGCTAGCAAGAGCTGAGGCTTGTACACCTACTATTGTCAGTATTGGAGCATTCACATCTAACTCAGCCAGATAGAAGGGTTTTCCACAAAGCCCTTCTACCTGACAGTGGTAACAATTCACATTTCTGTAGCAACACATGGTTTTTTAGCAGTCTTGAGCAGAAATAAACCCCCAACATTAACACATGTGCTCCCAGGGTGCATTTTAACTAGAAAGTGATTGGATGCTTTAAGTAATCCAGGCAGTCTACAAACTTGAAACTCTCTTTTGTGGTTCCAGTGATGAATTACTAATTAATACCATAACAGTTAAACACAACAGGCTGGCAAGTAAAAAACTTCCGCTTTCCTTTACCATCACCTTCTAATTTTATTTTCTGAGGAAAGAGGGATGGATTAGGTACCATCTTCTAGTTGATGTATATGTATGTATCTAGTTGATGTATGAAGAGTAATCTTTGCCTTCACCAAGCTCAAATCACATCTCATCTAGCCAGCCACAGTGTACCTAGTCTAAGAATTTCCAAGTAAGACAAGAATGTTCCAGGTCTTTTTCTTATTTTAAGAGTGCCATGCTTTAGTTCAGAAAAGCATGGGGGAAATGACTCAGGGTTTATCCATTGCAGTACCTATCTGGATGTGATCTTTATCACTCTGCAGTTTCCAATCTCAGCAGAGGCAGTTCTGACAAAATACATAATGTTTTTGGTGTATAACAAATATCTGTTAGTGCTTTGTATTTGCCTGATTTACTAATTATTCCACAAGAATTTTTAAGAAACCATAAGGGTCTCAGCTTTTGCTACTAAGGCAGGATTGAGCTGTTTAATATGTGCAATTCTGTCATGGAGCAAAGGATTAGTGCACTGTATTCAGGCAATGGCTGGTGGTTCAAACACACACTCATGCTAGTGACTGTTGTAGTGTAAAAGTGTACCATATAGCAGTATATATTTTCTCTGGATCTACTTCTGGAAATATGAGCTAATATAATGTGATTATACTTTCTTCATTGCAGCTAATTTCAGTAAATTCATATCTACTGCATATGAACAGTTATTGCAAGCCAATGGTTTCCAGGAACTAGTGAAGCTGTGGTAATTTTCTCATTTACCTGGTCTCTGTACCTTCTAAGTGCTTCCACAATACAACTGATGAAAAACACATTTGATTTCATTTAAAGACATTCTACTTCAATCCTCAGCTTTTGACTGAAGGAAGTGTCAGCATCTGCAGGAATCAATGACGCTTCAAAATCATGTCCCTGACCTCAGACCTTAGGATCACACACATTCACTTGCCTCTCCTCTTGCATATGATCACATTTGTACAGAATGTTGTTCATTTTTTTATGCAGTTGCACAGTCTGTGTGCAATATTCTAGAGAATCAGGCCCGAGATAAGAAGATAATGCCAACTGAAGTACAACAAGCACTATATTGTGTAAAGCTGAAGGAAGGAGGTAGAGACAAGTGAATTTTCAGTTAAGTTTTTGTCTTCAACAGCTTCTAAGTGTAATTCAAATTATATAGAATAACACAATACATTATTAACATGAAATAAAGAAAAGAAAGCAGGGCTGGACAGGAGGCACTTAAGGTGTTTCTCTATAAAGCACTTAACGTGTGTTTTTTTATTAAATAGACTAAATCCAGAACAGCCACACAACAGACGAATATCCTCTATAAATAAGTCACTTTGAAAATATGACAGTGTAATTGAATTATTGATTCTACAGATACTTCAGTTCCATCAGAAATGTATCAAGTGATTTATGCAGCTGATTAAATTTCATTTATTCTGGTCTTAGTCTACCTCTTTTGTTGGCTCTGAGGAGACTCTTATCTCTGCCTTAATACCAGGAATTCTGCAGTCTGGAGAAAAACAGCTACACAGAGGACAGTAAACATGGATGAAACCAAGAGGAAATGCAATCCCAGAGGCAGAGTTTTAAGAACATGATTGCAGTGGGCTCTACCATAAATCTACCTGTCTGCTGAAATTGGTCTGCATTAAATTAAGTATATTTCAGGAGCAGTCACAGATGCCCCTTTGTCAGGATACAACATAAACACAAAAATAAGAACTGAAATCCTGACTTCACTGCAACTGACATGAAAACTGGAATTCTCATCTCTAGTCCATGCCTCAAAAAGTGCCTGCAGATGGAGACACTTTTTTTCCGTATAGCTCAGTGTTTTCTGCATCCAGTGTGATAATTTCTTCTGTTATCTTGTCAAATTGCTGTATTTTCTCAAAGCCCTGTAAGTTGAATGAATTGAGTCCCTCTCATTTATACTCACTTATACTCTTTTATACTATGACTCCTAAGAATTTTGTCATCATGGTAACAGAAGAATTTACATTTAGAAAATTTTAGAAGAAATTTACAGAATCAATTTTTTTCCAATTGCACTTAGAAATTTATAGTTTAGTTTACTTAATGGAACCATAATATTGCAGAAAACATTGTTTTAAGAAATACACATTTACCATTTAAAAACAATACAAAGAATAAAAATTTCAGTGCCATTTGTAATCCTTGTGAAAATGGTCCTTGAATGCAGAAAGAAAGACATTAAAAATTATGTAGAAAGCAGGACTAATGTTTTGATCCTTCTCAGAGAGAGCATGATGACATCTTTTTGAATGGAGTAAGTATGAAAAGCAAAGAATATGCAATAAATTATGTGTGGGAGTAAGCTAAGTAAATGTGGACAAAAGCAAGGCAGTTTTTCATAAATCTACAAGGATTCAGAATTGGATTTTTCAGAAAGGCATTTAATCTTTCCCAAAATCTGAAAAGAATAAAGTATTGTGTTTCCTGTGTTTTTAAATTTTGTCTTCAAAAGAAAAAGTACTCTAACTTTAAAAACTTCCCAAGCCGTCCTAGTTTCTCTTTATTCTTCCAAAGCACCAGGATCTCCCATGTATTCTTTCCTTCCTTTCTCCATGAGTCTACTGTGTTGGCACTATAAAATTAAATTTTTCCTAAAATCATAAGAAGCTCTGAATTATTTCTCTAGGGTCCAAATTGGAAGGGACCTTAAAGATCATCTTGTTCCACCCCACCCTGTTGTGGACAGGGACACCTTCCACTAGACCAGGTTGCTCCATCCAACCAGGCCTTAAACATTTCTAGAGATGGGGCATCCACAGCGCCCCTGGACAACCTGTTCCAGTGCCTCACCACCCTCACAGCCAAGAAATTTTCTTAATATCTAATCTGAACTACTTTCTTTCAGTTTGAATTTATTCTCTCTTGTCCTGTCACAACATGTTAGTGTAAGAAGTCCCTCTCTGTCTTTCTTTAAGTCTCCCTTCAGGTACTGAAAGGCCTGATGCAGCCCAGGACACGTTTGGCTTTCTGGGCTGTGACTGCACACTGCCAGCTCATGTCCAGCCTCTTGACCACTCCCACCCCCAAGTCCTTCAAATGATAGATACGTGCTAATACATGCTTGGGTTTTGGAATTAGTGCCACCTCTGCCACCTCAGTAATATCCAAAAGAACAGTGAAAGATTTCTAAAGAGGAATAAAGGATAAAGGTAACCATTTTTAGCATACTAAAGAGAACTTTAGTTTAGATTACAGTCCAAAAAAACCAGAGGCTTTGCTAAGAGAAGAAAAGGAATGGGCAGTAGGAAAAGGCAAGTGTCTTTAAGGTATGCTTTTGAGAAGTGAGGTTGCAGAGAATTTCTATCATCTTTGATTATAGCATTACTTCTTGTAATTTTTTTCAAACTAGATTAGAAGCCCATTAATAAAGTCACTGACAGAAGAAGAATAAGGAAATACCTTGTAAGTTACTTTCAACTTCCTTAAAAACATTTGCCTTCAGAAAGGAAATTAACTTGCTTTCTCCCACTCTCACCCTTGAGGCCCTTTTGAACATTCCAGGCACTAACAGAAAAAAGCAGTTTCATGTTGCAACAGCTTGGGAGATATATGTGCAGATGAAGCAATTCAGATTTGCTGTCCAACAGAGAATACATGAACACTCTGCTTGTTTGCAGGATAGTGTTTCATCTTTGCTCTTAAAAAACAAACAGACCCAAAAAGGAAAAACACTGCATGTTCAGTACAGCTCCGCAGGACTTCAGTCAACATTAGTCCTTCTGTGAACACTGGCACATTTTTACATTTTAATTGCATTTTTGGTCCATTCACAACACAAAAGAATTGACAACAAGGGAAAGCAGCTTCATCAAGTTTATACTGCAGTTAATGTCCAACTATTCAGAATATTGGAGACTGGGACCTTAAAAAACTGGGACTACCTTAATAATGCCAAAACACTGGTGAGAGGAAACAGCAGTGTCCAAGTGTCTGGGGGTCAGTAGGGCTCATTAACTCTGGCTAGGAGTTGGTACCATGGGATCTTGGGTTGGAAGCATTAAGGGAATTTGGCAGTATTATTTTCTGCTACTGGTATTGTTTAGTGGTTCAAAATCTAAATGATGTGAATACCTCTGTTCCTAGACGAAATGAGACAGTATTATGTAGTATTATGAATAGGTTAATTGGAAGGAACTGAGCCTGAGCTGGGTCTGAACAGGATGGTCCTGTCCTTCCCATCTTTTGGAGGCATGGCTTATCTTTACCCTGGGCTATGCAAGCAAGTATAGCTGAGAGTTGATGGAATCTCCCTTCCTTAAGGGAACTTCCTTATGTGCTGCTTCCAGCTGGTACAGCCTATGTAGGTTATCCTTGCTCTCAGTTGTCTGCTTCATTATTGCTAACATTTTGATTTTACTTTACCTTGTTGTTGCGTTCAACCCCAGTGTAATCTGCTTCAGGTGGAATCTTTATATGTAGCTCAGCTTCATAGGCTCCTTCCCCATCATTCCTTGGATTTATTATGAGCATGACACAGTTTTCTTCTCCAATTATTAGCTGATCTGTATCCCTGTATAGAACATGCTACTTGTCAGGAGTTAAAACATGCACAGTTAGGATTTAGATATGAATAAAGCAGAAGGATATTTTGCTCTCAGAGCATCTGTTGTGGAAAATACTCTGTGAACACAAAATAAAACATCTTCTATAAAAATAACCCTATGAAAAAGTAAACCAACACCTGGGTAGAAAAGAGGTCAAGAGAAAACACCACTGTGGCCAAAATGGACTACCACAAAACTTGAAAATAACTGGTATAAAATTCCAGAGCCTGACTGCTTTCTAAAGAGCAAGAAGTATTTAGTGGAGAAATCACTTGCCACAGGGGTCTCATTAGCATTGCTTTCTGGAGGACACAAAGGTGGTAGTTTTCTCCTCATGTCCATCGTAATACAAACAATGACAGAAACTCTCCTGAGACCTACAATGTCACTGTCCCTTTTTGTTTCACAAAAGTCTGTTTTCTAAGGACTGATTCTGACGAGTCAGGTAACTCTCAGACATTCCCCACTTGTCCTGCTTGGCATGTTTCTCCCTCCACAGGACTGTTGCCATGTTTTGAAAATTTTATTTTGAGATTAATTTAATACAGGAGAAGTGTGTCCAAGTTCAAAGTCACTGGCACTCTGCAATAAAAAAAACTTGAAACCTCCTATGAACAATAATTTGTATAATCTCTTGGCTTTCAGAGAACTAGAAGCACTCCTAACAAATAGCTGGAAACTCTATTTTCTGTGATAACCATTAAACATCATGAATGTGGTTTGCAAGTGTATGTTTCTCCATTTTTTGTTTTTGTAGCTGAAATGGACGCACAAATTAAAATCTGGAAATCAGGTAAGAATGATTAGCTACAGTAAACAACAGACCACTGTTCTACATCATTCTGTTGCAACAGTTAGCAGTGTCTGGTCTTTCTTATATACAGCATAATTTATTTTATTTAACTTACGGCACTGCAGAAAGTTGCAAGTCAGGAATGCATAAATTGTCCTCCCCACAGTCAACCAGAATGTGAGCCTGTATCATTGCAAAGTAAAAAATGATAATAGAGTTAGTATATACCTCAAAGTCCAAATCACTTCATTAAATATTGCTAACCTAAGTGTCATAAACATCACCAGAACTGCCTTAGTGAATTAAATATTTTTCTTTCTATAGGTTTCTTTCACTAGAAGTTCCTTTTCACATGGTAGTTGGAGGTTGGAGACTATTTAGGTGGTCAAATATGTCCTTAGCAGAACAATATAATTTTCAGGCCCTGTCTCACACTAACTTGGCTCGCATATTCTAGAAAGCAATCAAAACTATGAGTACAAGAAAGTTTTGGAAATACTTGAAAGGCCTCTTGGTTCTATATTTATATTCAATATACATTTTGTATTAATTAAATCCCTGTTGTGTAATTTCTGGATGTGATACTCTCTTTTAAGGAAGATGACACACATAGTATTTGTAAATGCTTTCATGTTTATATACAGAAAAGGTGGCATGCAAAATTCATACCTGCTCAGCTAGTGAGTTTTTCTGGTAATAGTTCAGTATTGGCTTCACAGTCATACTATCTTCAAAACGGGACTCATCCAAACTATAATTGAAGTTTATATTGATGGGAGATAATTTATCTCTAAATTCTGTTTCATCCTGTGAGTGACAATCACATAATAAAAACCAATGGTTTGTTGTGATTATTTCAGTTGCTATGGTATGACAACAGATTTAGACTTCTGAAGGTAAAGATGTGGTCTTTATTGAAGGTAAAGACACGGTTCTTTGACAGATGTTGGCCAAATTCTGGCTGCATGTGGTGTCATTAGGAAAGCAAAGTAACTCACCAGTAATTGGAATGCCCAGAACACATTGCCTCCACAGCCCCACATCTGGAAGAAGCTGGCTGAGCTGAGTAGACTCAGAAATTTTTCAAAGCATTAGCCTAAAATGAAGCTGTTTAAGAGAGACACACAGAACCAACTCCTATCAGCTACTGCCCCCCTTCCTTTTGAAATGGAGGTAAGGGCATGTGTGGATTTGTGGAGGTAATATTGCTGGTTTGTATCATAACCAAGAATTTATAATAATTAGCAATGGTAAAATTCAACCACCTTTCTTGTCTAGTTATGTCCTTACACAGTGCTTGAAACTTCTCCATTTCACCTCCCACTGCATTTGTAGGATCAGACTTGGAAACTACTACAATTGCATGAGATAACTCCACCTGTAAGTGAGCAAGTGTTGACCCTTTTTCCTTTACAACTTCAATTCCATAATTTTAGTTTTTTAAAAAACATTTTCAAATATTTTTAACATATTTTTTTAAGTTGTATGAAATTTAGGGCAATATCTCTGGTAAGACTCCTTTAAAATCTTTTGAACCTGAATTGGCATGATATTTAACATGATTATTACTTCATGATAAACACTAAAAAATTAAAGGGATACCAAAAAAAGGAAAGCAATCTTGCATTTTTGTATCAGAAGATGCAGTATTTGACCAGAACTTCCAGAAGAGTGTGAAATGAATTCTCTGAACACAGAGAAATTCTATACTCTTCAAAATCAGTATTTCTTTTATACTTATATTCACAAAAGAGGAGCTGAAGATTTACATAGGGATTTTTTTCAAGGTAGCAGTATGCTCTGGACATACTGAACATACAGATGAGGTATATATTATATCCCATTTCTGTAATTTTGGAAATTCTTCTTCTTTTTCCAGTTTTTTATTATTATCTTTAAATCCCTGGTACTATTCAAATAATAATGAAAGTCCAAAATATTTTAAACAACTTACTCTGAGGTAAACAAGGAAGTCCTGGCAATGGAGTTGTTTCTGTCTTTCTATCACAATGGAGAAGTAGTGATGTGACTGATGGTAATCAAAGAAGAGGGTCCTCTTAACAGCTCCTTTCTGTTTCAATGAATCTAATTGCAATTCACCTTTCAGGACTAAAGGATACAAGTAAGTTACTTATTGATTTAACTGAAAGAAAATACATATGTATATGTGTAACACATAATATGTATAACACGTAATATGTATTACATATATATATATATATATATATATATATATATATATAACATATAATTATATATTATAATTAATTAAACTAAGCAAGTCTTCCAAGAAAAAATAATTCATGCTTTAAGTGCCTGTCTGTTTAAAAGCCCACTAGGTTTTCATCCAAATTATGCAGGACGTGTAATTTAAGCTTTCATAGTTCATTGACAGATCATATGTATATAGGACATCTGTCTCTTTATTTTTTTTCTAAAACAAAACATTCTCCAACAAGGTACATTCTTGTATTTATTTAGAAAATTACTTAATCTGAAACAAAAATCCTTTAAGTGAGTAATAAAACGTTTGTGCTTACACACACACACACACACACACACACACACACACACATATATATATATACAAACACTTTTTTTTTTAAACTGCATTTTCTTGCCTTAGGAGGCTCTCACTCCTATTGTCTTTCCAAATGTAGAAAAAAATACATCTGAAATGGAGCAGGACAGGGTAAATTATAGGAATAGAAAACTTTTCTTACCTATCTCATCTGAAATACTTTGACCTTCAAAATCTGCACAGACTCTTACCATAAAGCTACACATAAAAGAAGTAGAAGCAGTTAATTATTAGCAGATAATGGACTGACTTGGGAATCAGCAGTTCCCAAGTTATATCTTTTAAATTTTATTTTAATTTTCTTAAAAATATGTTAACTAAGATTGCATCTAGCTACCAATGATATTCTCTAATTAAGTCAGGAATTCTCCTATACTGCACTAATAATAACAGAAGACAGTTGCTGAGTACTTCCTGGCAAAGGTACGGAGAAGATTCTTTGGTCCCAGTAGTTCTTGAGAGAGCCCATGGAGATGACCCTTTGGATACTACTGCCAAAGCTGGATTCTTGATGCTGAAGTTCAGCAAACCACCTTTGTAAAAGGCTGTTCATAGAAATCCTTTCTGGTTCATCATGGTAAATCAGAAAAATCTTAAAGAATGTTGTCAGTGCTCAGGCTGTTTTCCAGCAAATCAAATCACCCAGGATACCAATGTGTTCTATTGTCATTACTGTAAGATTTTCATTATTTTAACAGGCTATAATTAATTCCAAACATAAAACCTAAATTGTAGGATTTTTGCGGCCTTAGACTAACCAAACTGTATTGCATTCAGTTTGCGAAGTTTTGTAGAAAGTGGCATTTACACAACCTAAATTAAAGCACAGAGATACTGGTGATTCATGCTGTTTATCTAGTATGCTAAAGCAATGCATTCTACAAAAATCAACACATCATAAGTTAATTGTTTTTAATTTTCCTGTTCTGAATGTATAGCAAACTCCTTTGAGCCTAGAAATATTCACACCACAACTGTAACAATTATACAAATGTCACCTCAGCCATAGGTGAGTCCTTTCCTGTAAGAAATATTTCTGTGTAAGGCTGGCAACAGATTTGCAGTTATACTTAACTGATAGGAGAAGTCTTTTATAGTTTTATTGGCTGATACTTTCTAATAAGAATTTTTAACTTACACAAAAATTAAGTAAAAAAACCTAAAAAAGTAATGATTATAGGAAAGTTTCACTTTGTAAGGAATCTATTTATCTTTTATAAATATTTAATTGAATTGCATTTTGAAAAATTGCATTTTCACAAATTACACTGGATGGAATGAGAAATAGTATTAATTATGCCTGTTGATGCAATTAGAAGAGTGTACTTCCCCAAAAAGTGGCAAAACAAGAAATCTGAAACTGGAAAGATGTTCTTCATTTTTGATTTCTGCTGTCATCTGCCACATAGACTAAGTACTGCATACCATAATTCCTAATGAAATCCTGTATAATGTAACAAAATTGCTCAGGTGAGAGATTCTTTCAAGTGTTTGGTTACCAATCATCCTTAGAGAAAACTTTCATGGCTTCATAAAATGTTTTGAATTGTATATGGACAATATATTGTAGGTGAGCATTAAAATCAGCTTGAGTCAAATAAAAAAATATTTGCATTATTCATTGATCTTGATCTCACTACTGTTATACTCTATACTAATGTTCCCATGCAGTGGATACAAAACCACTAACATCAACTTTAAACCAACCTGTAATCACATTCTAATTGCATGTTTGTTTTCTCTGACAGATGTAATGGAACTTCCACATCTGGGATATGTCAGTCCCATAAAGAAAAATTCTTTTATTGGAGAAAAAAAAAAGCCATTATTTTTTGAGGAACTAGAATGGCATAAGTGATTAATCTCTGCCAAACTGTAGCCGTCAAATGACTTTCCAATCCATGCAGAAATTGTAAATTTATTCATACTCCCCCTTATTTACAATTATGAGTTAATACATGAAGAATCAATTATTTCCAAATACACAAGGACAAAATAATGAGGAAATTTTGTGTAATCACATAAATGCAATTTAGACATCAGACTTCACAGGCCAGTCTCACATGTCAGAGTGTAAGAGTGTATTTCCTCTAGTGTAAACTCAAGAGCTGGCATTGTATTAAAGTCACTTATCTTGCTTTGGATGAATCACGTAAATTTTGCCCTATCATGTTTGAAAAAAGATTGTGTTCAAAAATGCAGCTTGGAATGTTTAACAATAAAACAGAACACTTTCAGTGTATGTTTTATTTACTGCAATGAACAGAATACTTCATCATACATATTTGATAACTGAAGTCATGCTCTTAAACATTACTGTAAGAGTCAAGATTTACTCCTTCCACTCCAGGCAGAGCATGTCAGAAAGGGAATGGCAGAGCAAAAAAGCCAAAATTTGGAGTGGATAATCTCCAACACTCTGGCCACACAAGAGGGAAGACTATGGTTTACAGCACAATTCTGCCACAGATTTGTGATTCCATTATTTAGTTTAGAAATAGTGCTAAAGACATCAAAGATTTCAATTGCAAACCTAGATGAAATTAGATTCACTCATCACTTCAATAAGAAGATGCTGGGGAGATTCTGAGGGATGCTTTAGCATCAAGAAAAAGAAAAGCAGAGAGAAAGAAAGACCACAAAAGAGGACAAGAATTTGTAGACATTTGAGATCTGACTCCTAGGCACAGTAGAAAGAAAACATCTGAGCTTTTGAGCTTACTTGTAGGAACAATCAGCTAAAATACACAATTAAAAATTAAAGGAAGAAAACTTCAGCAAGTAAGAAACAAATGGGAAATAATGCATCATCCCAAAGCACATGAACTGTTTATGTGCTATCAATTTTGCCTCTCTGAAGAGATCCCCACATCACATTTATTCTGCTGTGTCTGTCATCACTATGAGATTATGCTTTGAATAGTATTTGACTGTAGTTACAAAATAGAAGGAAAGCCTTAAAACTGAATACACTAATTTTTCCTGACAATTTCAAGGCAACAAAGCAGTTTGTTTAAAATAATTTTACATTCTTCAGGTAGACAGAAATATCTTTACAAGAACAAGAAGCTTAAAAACATTCCTTTCTTCAAAACTACTCTTGGCACAGATGGGAGCAGTCTCTTCAAAAGTTAACCCTAACAATATTACCTAATATCACCAGAACTGGTGAAAAGTTAGTTACCCCTGTATAGTATTTCTACACTGCATTTAGTACCAGAAAGAAATTACTTTGGTCTGGCGACTAGCAGCTGAAAAAAAATAGAAAGCTTACTTCAGGAGGTGAAAAGCAAGGCATTATCAGATCCTACTAAATGCATTTGTCATTGTTAACATTAGCACCAAGGTTTGCAGATGGAGAGAAAGAACAGATAATGCTTTAGCAGAAAGGCAAAGCTTTAATGTTATGGACTTCCATTCTGTGTGAGGCTGATGTCCAATCTGCGAGGTCACAAACCTCCACAGGAAAAGTTATTATCTACTGATGAATGACCTTTAAACAGTTTCCTTTCTGAAGTACAATGTGTAAAAGCAAATACACTTCTATTATGATGCTCTAATACTTGCCCTGCTTTTAGATTTTGTTTTAGCTAAGCTCAGCTGTGTTAGTAGAAACTGACACCACCTGCCTACCCCCTTTGACCAGCCCCTGAAGAATGAGGTATCCACCTCCTGACCCGTGGCCATATGGCTTTGCTATCCAACCCATGGAGTCGGGCTGGCCAACAGTCTTTGGAAAATCTCACACAAATTTATCTCAACAATGGCCCCTAGGTCCAAATCCATGGGGCACCAGTCACATCCTCTTTCAAATGAGGTCAATGAGAAAAGAAAATACTAGCAGTAGAAAGGAGCAAAAGTAGAAACATAGTCTAACCTATGCAGCTAGGAAAGGCTGAAATATTATTTTGGGAGTTTATATCTTTGGTGGAAATTTTGTATTCAGTTTTTTAAAAAAATGTATGTAGAAATGTCTCATTTACTGAACCTAGCTGACTCAAGATCATGAATGTTTTATTATTACTTTAATAGTAAGAAATTTGGAGATAAATTAACCACTTTTTTTTTTTATTAAGGATTTTTTTTATAGTAGGAACTTGAAGATCAGAAATTTTAAGCACTCTGCTTCTGTTTTTAGTGTCTTTAAAGAGGTGGATAGCCTCCAAGGCACATCTCAAATCAAACATCCAAACCTGAAAAGCACCTACAAATAAAAAATATAGTCTACAGATATAAAAATAGAAATACAAAAATACATATACAAAATACATTCTACAAATCATGATTGGACACTTCTATGCAACTTTCAGTAAGTCAGGTAACTTCTCTGATCCTCTACAAAATGGAATTAACAATATTCACCTGAAATTAGTGAGAGGTGAGTAAAAAACTTTTGTTTTTTACACTTTTAGTTAGTAGATAATCAGACCTCAAATGGTAATAAAAATACCAATGCATAGATAAATTAGATCTCCTGACAGCTAGAACCCAAACTTGAACACAATAAATTACATGGTGTGGAAAGAGGTTTTGAAAAATGAAAATCTTTAATTTATTTACCTCTTTTTAGATAATTAACAGATACTGCATCTTTTACACTTAGGGGAAAGAAAAGTCTTTTTCCATAGTCTTTAATATCTTCAAAGTTGCAGAATTTGTTACAGGCCTGCTAGTATTGGGAACTCAGAAACAGCCACATTTTACACACAGCAGAGAATGAATTATGTTTCTAGAAGTTCAGGACAATTCTCTTTGAACTATGCATAAAAATGACTTTTTTTGCATGTTTCCTCTTCTGCTTCAGCTTTGCAATTTATATCATGGCAGAAATAATATTTTCCTAATACTTGGAAATGTACAATAATCCATATTATTCATGCACACACACTTCCTGAAACTTTTCTGGTAGGAGGTTTCATTTCATTCTAATTTTGCAGTGTTAGTCAGAAGAGTTTTATACAAGTTGCACATCTGGCTAAGAGATACAGAAATCTGTCCTATGGGACTGAGGAATTCTTTGCCTGTTGGGGTTTCCCTACTAATTGTTTTCATATGTACAATACATTCTTATATCAACCAAGGAAAAAAATTACAGTATGAAAAATAGCAGCTGCTCTTCAGTCATTTCATAACATGAACTGAATCTTTAGGGAACAGTACTTTAGAATAAAGCAGACAGAAATTAAATTATGCTCCTACTAAAGCTCTTGTAGATATGAACCAAACTTCTTCTGGCTTATTGTAGCGGAGAAATGAAAAGAAAAAAAAAATATGTTAAAGGAGTATGCATTTCTTCCTTCCTTTTCTAAACAATATCTCAGAGCAAGAATATTTTTTAAGAGAGGTGTTTTTCTTCTTGTGCAAAAAACACCACCTTTTCTCTTGCAATACCTGTTGTTAACTGTTACAATTCCAAAATCTTTTCCATTATGATAAGAAGCATTTTTTAAAAGTCTTAAAATCTGGAGTTGTGAGCGACGTAATTTGGATCATAGAAAATGCTTCAGCCAAGTGTCTGTATTTCAAAATTTTTTTACATTAACTGTTAAAACAAAAGATAATTGAATCAAAAAATTCCAGAAAGGCCAAAGATTTGTAAAGTTCTGGCATTGCTTAGTACCACCAAGTGCCTTCTACACTGCTCTGTAGATGGGCAATTTTCTACACTGGATGTAGAAATGAGGAACATGATATAAAATATGAGAAGCCCCATAAAGTGTAAAAGAACAGCACAAGACTGAAAATCTCTTGACAACCCCATCCCAGATGCTTTGGAAGCCCACATATTTATTGGTTTAAGTGTATAAAAGTTTAGTTCCTTTAAGAGCTTCCAAGGCTCTTAAATGATCTGCTTCTCATGATTATGTTTTACAGTTCATATTTATCAATTAATTCTTATGACTCTTTTATTAATCTTACATTTGAGATGAATTTTAGGACTCATCTCCTGTAAAGAATGCTTCCAATGTGGGGAAATCCTCTGACCATCTTTGGTTTAAAAGCAGTGCAAAATGTCTGCATTAATGTTATCTTCTGGGGTCCTCTTTTACACCTTAATATTGTTTTCATCCAGCCCACGTCCTGGCAGGCTTCCTGCTTCTAATGTTTTTACATCTTGGAAATCTGTGCCTCACAGTCTTTCTGGCAAGACTTACTACCATTTTATATTCAACTTGCACGTGTTTATGCTCTGTTTTGATTTCAGTTTCCTCATTTGTTATGATTTCCACTTTTAAACGGTATCTTATGTATTTGTAAAAGCCTCTTTTGTCAGCTGTTCCTGGGGTCCATTCAAAGTGACTTTTTTCTAGTGCAGTAAACGTGCCTTTATGTGGTGTTATGTGCTATTATATAGCCTCCAAACGTCCTGCAAGCATTCTGTACTTGTAACTGATCTTAAATTGTTTTAATTAGCTCCAAGGTTTTTTATGTTGCTGGTTTTTTTCTGTTCAAAGTCAAATGCTACTGTGGTTAAATGTTTCTCTTTTAAGGATAGTAGAAACATTGCCCTGTATTATGTGCTAAATAAACCTTTCCTCTGACCAAAGACAGCCAGAAACAACATCCTGTGAACTTCTCTCAGGATGGCCAGCCAGATACCTTCTCTCTTCCATGAAGGATTAAGATCTGTCTTTCTCCAACAGAAAATGGTGGGCCCACTAGTTCTGCATCACTTTCACTGTTACATTTTGTCAACAGATGACTGTTTATATGTTTCATCTATTTTAGCTGGTTCACGTTTCATTCCTCTAAACATTGTATATAACTTTGTAGCCTGCCCCTAGGAGACACTGAGCATCCTCTTATGCAGAAGGAGACTCAGTGTATCAAAGGACTCAACTTTCAGCTACAATTAATTAGACAATCTGCTAAGTACTAGAAAATACCCAAAAGATTTCTGTATAGAGGGGTTTTGTAGAGCTCAGAGCATGTTTCAACATTTTGAACTTTGAACACCTTCAACAAAGAGTTGCAATAAAATTAAGGAACAGGAAGTTATTTGAGAAAGAGGACAAGGATATTTTTTTTATTAATCATGGACTTACCAGGCCACCAAAAGCTGAGAGCTGGGGAGCTGGCAGGTTTTATTGTCTGGATTCACAATCATGGGGTTCAGAATAAGATGAGCATTCACTGTCACAACAGGTCTGGCTCTGGGGGACAGAAATAAGGTTCACCACGTTCAGAAGGAGCACATTAGTACCTAAGTTGCAGCAGAGAAAAAACTGAGTTTGCTGCAAAGAAGCCAGAGATGTACGGTTACTTGGGAGAACACAGTTTTGTAATGCTGCTCATAGCCAAAATAACCTTTTTTATTTTTCCATCAGAATCCTACTGAGAGTCACAAAAAAAAATATCACATGTTAACACATCACGGAAACAGTATCCTATGGTTAAGCAATAGATGTGCCCCAGGACTGAGGCACATCAGGCACATTTCATCACACTCAGTTTTTCAAAGGGACAGAGTTTGCCTTTTGGGGTTTTACAGCAGTCCTTCGGCCATCTTGCAGATTTCTTTTGTACTGTCTCCATTAATAATGATACATTCAGACTTACTGTGTCTGTTTTAAGACTCTTAAAAAAATAAACATGATTTGGTTAAAGTAAAAGTTAGTTAGACTATCTTGGGCCAATAATGAAGTAAAATCTTGTCTGACGTTTTTTGAGACAACTGACTTTGTAAACCAGGAATAATCATCATTAAATTGTGCTTAGTACATGAATATATAGTTTTGGTGACAGAAACCATCTCTCTGAAGCTGTTATTAAATATGAGATAATCTATTACTACAAGCAGTTTAGAAGACAAATAATAACAAGTATGTGCCCAGATTCTGGTTTTTTAAGACAGCAATACTATTTACAGTAATTTACATAATCCCAGTTTTCTAACTTTCCTGATATTTTAATCCACATCTGAGCTTTTATGACTACTTCTTTATATTACTTCAGCAAGACATCAAAAAATAAAATTAATCTCTTCACTTTTGTGCAATAGGGAAAGCCCTTTTTTGCCTAGAAAATTTCAGTAATAAAATTCTGTTTCAACACTATTCATATTCATATTCAATATATTCTGGCTGGGAAATGGACTCCTGCTATTCACTTTCTTAAATGAAATAGAACACATTTTTTTGTTATTGAAAATAGACAGGGGATCTAATTCTTCAATGTTTCATCCTGTGCAGTCACTCATGGCATTGCAAAGTATTTGCATGATTCTCTCATAGCAAGTAGGAAAATCAGATCCTCTCATTGCACCTATATTGTTAGCTGAGATGAGCTAACATTCCTGTTTTACAAAATTTTTAATGCTGTCACAAACATTCAGTTGGGAAGTAGAACATGCCTTTTCTCACTAAGGTGCTGTTGAGAATACAGACAACAAGAGGCCAGACAGGAATCAGAAATATGACTACATTGTTGTAGCAATGGATGGTGAATACTTCAATGAACTGAGCTGTCAGCATGGCTGGACTGAGAGCATTAGCAGATTTTATGTAAATGTTTACGTGTTTCGTAGTGTTAAATTTTACATCTAATCAAAAAGTGCATTGAGTGGAACTCCGTAGTCAACAAGAACTTTTTGTTTTGTAAAATAGGATCTTGCGCATTTTTTTAAACTGAGGCTAAAAGTAGCAATCTTTATTTTGAAATGGTTCATGTCTTAACATACACAATCTGAAGATCAGTTACTTTAAAATTTCATACTAGCACCATATCCACATGAAAGAAATTAATTTTCAATGCTATGCCTTTTAAATTTCTTATTCAAAATTAACTAAAGAGTCAAACATTCCAGAAGCTGCTCGAGCAAGCCTAAGCATGGAAACTTTAATTAAAAATTACATGTTTTGAGCATGGAAAAAAAGCATTTGTTTCTCACACAATGTTTAATTTTTCATCTCTAATGACCACCTTTTACACACTGCAACAGAGAAACAGGAATATGACATTTTTAAATTTTAATATTTCCCACTAAAGCTGTAAAATATCAAATCAATTGTATTTACCACATACCTGTAAACAACTGCTTTTCCAGCTCCAAATGCACCAACAATTAAATCTGGAAAAACCAAAATGGCTTCAGAATAACTATACCGAAATCTCTCACACATTTTTTTCCATCATAAATTAGATTATTAACATTGCAGTAACATAAAATAAATATGATAATTACTTTCTAAGCAGTTTTGTTCACAAGTGTGGAAGAAAACACTTTTGTTCACCTGGAAGAAAACATTTCACATGTCAGAGATGGTGTCATAAATGTCTCAGTTGTAACCAGTAACTGCCAAACTATTCAACATGAGGTCACCCATGCCACAATCTCACTTCTCTCCAACTTGTATCATAGGGAAGAAAATACCATTAAACTCTATGCATTTTATTCCAAATCCTTTACTGTCCATTAAATGAAGAGCTGCAAAACAATTTATTGACAGTTTCATATAAGTCGTATTAAAACTTTATGGTGTTCCTTCCTGACAATCCTTCCATTTTACTTTGTGTTTTAAGTAATTTATTCATTAAGTTAGGCACTGCATCTCTGTACAAATAAATACAAAGCAAGATCAGAGGATGGCTGATTTGATAGCTTCTAATGTTTACGGCATTGTAGCAATATGTGCTAAGGTTTACAAGTTATCCATCTAAAGATGTCATTTTCCCTGACAGATGGAGTCAACAACACAAGCTCTACCCCAGAACTTGGCCATGTCTTTGTCAATGGTCACTGGCCTGGGGTTGGGAATGTACAGTCCAGAATATTTCCTCTTTTTGCCTGGAGTCCCCACACAGTAGTCCCTGGAAAGATCCAGACTGGCTTGCTGGATCCATTCAGGCCTCCTGGAGAAAAACTGCAGCCAAGCCATGAGGAAAAAGGCTCAACTTTCCTACTGTGCTTGCCTTTGGAAAGAGCTTTGTTTCATTTTCAAAGCCCCAGAGTCCATCTTGGCACAGCTTTCACTCTACTTCTGCTATCATTCAATGTGACTGACATCCAATTCAGAAGACAGAGCCTCAAAACAGACCTTGCAGTGGTACAGACTGGAAACCTAAACTGATCTAAATAAGTTAATTAAACGAGTGCTTAGGCGTGTAAACAAACCCTTACTTGCTGCTTCTATACTTGGAGCACTGGTTTGCTTAAGCAGCCCTGGAGTCATTGAACATGAAGCAAATACCAAGTTTTGATGTTAATTATCCGGATGGGTTTGGTCCAGGTCTGGCAGTGTATTTTCTAGTGCTTCTCCATCTTTCAGATGATCAAGATTTCATAAAAAAGTTAAAGCAAATACTTCACATGGGCAACAGCCAGTCCTTTGCTGAATTCCATTAATTAATGTCCTAATAGGAGCAGACATGGACAGTTTATTGGTCTGATCCTCTTTTTGTACAACATTTACATTTTTCTAATTTCATTGGCCTTAGAGAAATGTGTTTCAGGGTCAGGAACACTTTAAATAGCAGAATAAAATAAGTGGGTTTATCTCCTTTTTGGGACATTTGTGTGTTGTATCCTTTAGTAGCCTTTATAGACAACTTGCCCACAGTACCAAAACCTAAAGATGTTTTTCCTCTTAAATAAGCAACTAAATGAGAGAAAGCCATGACCATGAAGGCTGCACCACACAGAAAAACAGAACTTTTCCTGGCAGCTCACTTATAGTGGCACCCATAGTAACTCCCCAAAAGTTATGCTGTAAGAGACAAAACAGGTATATATCTAAGACTTATTAAGATCTTGGCCTAGTGGTGATTTTCTTTCATTAAAAAATAAAGGTTAAACACAAAACTTGGGTAAGCTTAATAAGATGCAGCCTGTTAGAATCTGAAGGTGAGAAGGATGAGTCTCAGTTACAGCTGGCCTCACTAGTGTGAGTGAATGCAATTTCACTATGTACTGCTGTGCAAAGATCCCCTCTATCCCAGCATCCCCACTTTAATATTAAAGAGGGTTTTGTACACCTGCTTAATGGTTAAATCCTGATATTTTGGGACAGAACCCCGCTTATTTGAAGCCGGGGGGAATGGGTCTAGAATAGCAAATAGAGGCCTCAGCTACCAAAAGACTGGTTTTCCATGAGCAGTCTTTCTGCATTGCCACTTCAGCCAGGTTTGGAGACATAGCAAATAGGATGAGGATCCTCCATCATGGCACCACCACAAAAGCCCTATTTAAGACTACTTTAAGGGCAGCCAGGACTGTGCTCATCCTGCTCTTGATTGGATGCTATTACTTTTACCCTGACATGTCATTTGTTTTCTGGTCTAAGCCATGCTTATTCTGGATCCAAAGAGCTTAAATGACTAAAACTACTAAGTAGAGAAAGTGGAATTAAGAATAAATACGCAAAAAAACCCCCCAATTTATAGCTAGTGGTAACTTCTACAGTCTAGTGTAAGGACAAAATGATTATGTATTCAAGCAGAGCATTCACTGGAAGATTAATTAGGTTTTTTTCTTTTCTTTGTCTTGTTCTGTTACAGAGCAGTAATTTCACTCTTCCTTCTTTTATTGCTTTATGGGGTGCAGCTCCTATACCCATAATTGGAAAAAATAATTTTTGATGTTGATACAAATGCATGAGATTTGAATACACATCCCATCAGAGCACTTTCATAAGCAGAAGTTTTGAATTTGTTGAGTGTTCTGTAGAAGAAAAGTTACTAATCATTTCTATGAAAAAAATGTATGAGATGTCTAAATTATCTGAACGTTGGCAACTTTCCCCTTCTAAAAATAGAAGTTTTCTTTATTAATTCTTGTTAATGCTACGCAGGCAATGTCACTGATGCAAAGGTCACTAGCTGAAAAACAAGGTTTTAACAAGCAATTACAGAGCAAAAGAAGCCAGCTTAAAAAAAAAATAACTGAACTCCTTACAACCCTTCCAAAGAGAGAATGAAGCCTATTAAAACTTTTACTCCTTTGCATCACTGAGGGTTTTTTTCCAAGCTCAGATTAAAATGTGTGATTAAAACATAAAGATGAAGTATAAGAATCACAAAATCTATTTCATTTTTTCTTTTCTAATATTTCATGTCTCTGGGATGATGAGGGACCTCGTTGGTTTAGTTAAATGATCACTTTGCCTGTGTTGTTTGTTTGAGAAGATTGTCTATCAGCTGCTCACCTGCAGAGAAGCCAAGATCTGTAAGGAAGGGTTGATGGCAGCACCCATGAGCTTGTGTGTCATTGCTTTTGAGGAATAAATGAGCTGTGGGGTCACAACTACACTACAAAAATTAGGAAAACAAGCACAGAGAGACTCCACAGGAATTTTTAACTTCTATTTTTAACACAGCTTGTGGGTTGTAAGCATTGAAGTCCCAACTGGTGGAGTTCAGAGCTTAATGCTGAAATAAGTGTCTTTGGGACATATTTAACTGAAGTCAAGGGGCACTGCACAAAGTTAAACAATCCTAATGCGATTTCAAATACTTCAAATTTACTTGGCTCTGAATAGAAGGGTTGCAAGATGGTGTCTGGTGCAAGAAGTCTATTTTCTGAGATAAAATTATCATAAAAATTTAAGGTAATGGTACTGAAAGGGACAGTGGATTTTGTAAACATATGGGTTCACTTGCACCTTCTGCCATATGACTGTGCCAAATCTGAAACATTGTGTGATAAAGGGCAGAAACTTGCCAGGATGCTCACTAAACCTTCAACCAAATAAAGGAAGTAAGAAGATCAATAAAATCCTACTTCCAGTCTCAACAAGACACACTCATTTATTAACTTGAGAAATTTTTTTGATTCCCTCATATTTTTAAAGGTCATCCCCATTCTCTCTGAGAGATGCAGCCTCAGGGAGACTGAGCAGGGAGGAACATGCATCATGTTCAGCACCCCACACTTGGTTGGAGCCTGTGCAGCAATCCCAAGAGAAGTTGCCAAGACATGATGTCTCGTATCGATACACGGGGGACAGTGGCCAAGAAAAACATCCAGTGAACAACACATAACTGGCAAACACCTCCCTTGTCAGAAACCCAAAAATGAACGACAGCTGAGTCACATCCCTAAAAGGATGTCCCTAAAAGGACACAGGCAAGAAAGTGTTAACTTTGGGGACTCAGAATGATTTGCTGACAGCTTTAAACATAACTTGATGCAGTCTGTCGGTTTCATTGTATGGTATAAAAAGGAACCGGAAAACAGTTATATTCTATCGGAGTACAGGTGCCAATTGAAATTTTGTAAAAGGGAGAAAACCACCTAACTGTAAACTATTAAAAAAATCTTTGTGAATCTTTTTGCAATTTATTTCCTTGGCAGACTAGGTGCCAAAAAGGCCCAAGATTATATCTCTATTTGTTTTATAGGATTTCAGTGTGCATTAAAACCCCAGATCTCAATACAAATGATCTAGAATAAAAAATGCCTTTAAATGGCCATCACTACAAGATTGGCCATAGTAAAGGACACAGATCTGTCTAGCATAGCCAGCTTTACTCAAGGATTTTAGTTAAATACTACAAACAGCCATCATTCAAAGCAGAATCACTTTCTTACAATTCTATCATTCTCAGCTACCTTAATACTTCCCTGTTTTTAAACCATTGTGGTAGCTGGTCAGTTACAGGTAACATCTAAGGCTAATCTGTTTCAATACTTATCTTTTGTCTGAACGAATCCCTTTCACAATACAGCAATATTATTCATCATACTACAAAAAAATCCTGAAGAGGACAGTTAATGCTTTATCACTTAAGTAAAACACTACTAATTGGGATCAATTACTTTACTCCTACATTCTATTGGGCACAATACTGTGATTTCATAAAATATCATGAAGAATTTTAGAAAAGCATACCTATAAATTACAGAGATAATAATTTCCCATATAATCAACATAATTCTACAAAATTCTTGGCTTTTCACTACATTTTTGACTGATTAATCATGTGAAAAAATAATTAGCTGATAGAAGATTTTCTGCCTTTGCTGGCAGAACTCAAGCCATTGTTCTGGCTCCTACATATAGCAGTCCTCTCTTACAAGAGCAGATGCAGCTTCTCATTGATTTAATTTGTTTGTCTTCCACAAATCTCCTG